AGGATTATTCTGAGCTCAAACAGGTCTACTATCACTCAAAGGATGGTTGGTGAACCCCAAAAGTGGAAAGAAGGTGCAAATCACAAGACAAAAAAGGGAAAACCCTGATTTTTGCCTATACTCGGTCGAGTATTACCTATACTCGATCGGGTATAAGGTTGAAACTTCAAATCAGATCGGATCCGAAGACAAAAGAACATGCCGGGAAGATTTTGACCACGATTCAGTTTCTATACTCGATCGCGTAGACCGACATACTCGATCGAGTATGCCTTTGAGTTTAAACCCGAAATCGGTCGAGTATGGCTCGAATATCACTTTCTACACATACTCGACCGAGTATGAATATATACTTGATCGAGTACACCTTTGATTTTTAAGCCAAAATCGATCGAGTATACCTCGAATCTGGCATTTCTACACATACTCGATCGAGTATATGTACATACTCAATCGAGTACTCGACCTGCACCTCAAAAAGCCTATAAATACACCTCCTTTCCTTCACTTTTGAAAACGAATTCCTTTATACTCTTAAGCTCAGTTTAGAATAGAATTTCTCTACATTTCTTTTAACATGTTTAGTCTCTAAATGAGGAGCTAAACTTCCATTTCTTGGTGTTCCTGTTGAAGCTTGTTGATTATTAAAGTTGTGAGTTATTTTCTTAACTTCTTTCCTTGAATATTAATGCTTCTCTTAAATACTATTTCTATATCAATGTTGGCGAGTGTTGCTAAGATGACAATTAGTTAACATCTTGACATTGGTCTTAGTAATAGCTATTCCTTCCTCTATGTTAATATTGGGGAGTGTTACTTAGATGACAATTAGTTAACATCTTGATATTAACTATAGTAGGATTCATTTTCTTTAATATTCTTCCTTGAGTATTAGTTAATTCCTATTCATATTTCATATTAATATTTTGAACATTACTTAAAGGATCAACTAGTTTTGTTTCACATATTAATTATTACTAGAAACGATCAACGAACCGATGGTTAATCGTTGATAGTTTCACAAGTAAGTAACTTCGGTTTATTAATGCACGGTCGTGGTTAATAAACTCAAGAGGGATTAATTTTGTTGGTTAAACCGAAACCGTTGTGTTAAGGTTATCAATCTCAATTGATTTCATCAAGGAGTTAAAAGATTAAATGCTACTATCAAGTCAGTATATGGCGTTGTTCTATACTTGACTAATAGTAAGGGTTATTAATGAACGGTCGTTGTTAATAACTTTCCTCGATGAATTGGATATACTCCTCGATTGAGTATTCGAGAGGAGATAAGTTATAGATATAACAATGATCGACTGAAATATATCAACAAGTGGAAAGTAGCAATGCCAAGTCCTTTTTATCTTTGAATTAAATCACATATAACTCGTTCATCTTCGTGTTTAATTTAATTAAATCATTCAACCCAAAACCCCCCTTTATTTACTACTTATATAAAAAGAAAGTTATTCCTTTCCCTGTGGACACGAACTCTACTACACTATACTACGTATAAGTGTTAGTATTGAATTTATTTTGAGTGCACTCACGACAAAGTGCACGTCAATATGCCTGCATAAATAACACAAATAGAGAAGTGTTCCCCGGCACTCCCCACGTCGTGTGGTTTGCTCCGGGAAAAAAGTTTATTTTTCCCTCAATAGTAAGATGTGAATAGGAAATAGAGATTTTTAAAAAAAAAAATACATGAAATAATAAGATATTATTAAGATATGAAATAAGATATAAAAAAAATATACCATAGCCTAGCTTGTGCATGGTTCTCCAATGTTCAAGGTACCTCTCCAATGTTCTTCAAGGTACTTTTGTTTTAGCAGGGAGTTGTGGAGGAAGAGTTGCTTCTATGTTTGAATAGTCTAGAATATTTTTTTCAGAAAGTAAAGCATAAATATGGATGTGCCAGTTTCAAAGTGAAATCAACTTATCAAACTCCTTTGGAATTATGCTTTTGTAAAAGTCAGATGAAACTTATTTTAGATTTTGTTTTATTATTATTATTGTCATAAATTCAAAGAGGCTATTTGGATAAAACTTTAACGATTTTGTAGAATTATGTTTATTTCCCTAGTGGCCCAATGCACCTTATGTGTTTGATTATTAATTTGAAGATTTGGAATTATCATGTTTTTGTTGATTTAGGTTGAGTAATTACAGTGCTTGTAGTAAAATGTCCATGCTTTTTATTAAAAAAACTGGAGTAGGATTCATGTGATTTTGATACCGATGGGTATGAGTCCGGAACCTTAATTCTAGACCCGCCGAGTATATGGGCCAGGTCTGGATCTGGAACACTACATTTCGGCCCGAACTCGGCCCGTTGACTTGCTTAGGTATAAATGAGGATATTTTTATTTGTTAGATAGAAATGGACGTGATTGGTTGGTTAATTATATTACAGAGGAAGTTGTGATGTAAGGTTTTCAAAAAATGAAAAACATGTAGAGAGCAATTGCTCTAAGGGGGGGATTTGACTTTATTTGAACCCCAATATTTATGCAATATTGAACTTTGCATTTTTAATGGAATATATTGTCATATACCCTAAAGCTGAGACAAGACGATCGAAGGCAGTAGTCCAAATCACTTGCACAACGGCCCAAGACCCTACGCTGTGACCATTGTTCTAAAAATCGGCCTAGGCGGACTGATTAATCGGCCTAGGCGGCCTAGGCGGCCCTAACCGTAGAGGCCGAATCGGCCTAGTCGGCCAAAAAATCGGCCTAGTCGGCCGCCTAGGCGCTAAGCGCCCCTCAACCGCCCGACTAGCGCCTAGCGAGTTTTAAAACAATGGCTGTGACCAATACCTCACATACATGGCAATATGATTTAGAAGCTGTTTTCTTCACCTGATCTGAATGTTTCTGATCTGATTTTTTTTAAGTTCTGATCTAATCTGATCTGATCTGAATTTTTCTGATATGATCTGATCTGAATGTTTCTGATCTGATCTGATCTGAATGTTACTGATCTGATTTGAATGTTCCTGATCTGATCTGAATGTTCCTGATCTGATCTGAATGTTTCTGGTCTGATCTGAATCCTTCTGATCTAATCTGAATCTTTCTGATCTGATCTGATTTGAATATTTCTAAAATTATAATTACAATTATAGTTATTATAATTATAAATGTAATTACACATATATAATTTAAATATAATTATAATTATAATCATAATTATAAAAATTATAATTATAATTACAAAAATAATTATAATAGGTACAATTATTATTATACGTATTACACTAGTTATAAATATAGTTATAATTATAATTGTAATTATATTTATAGTTATATTTATTTCTATAATTATAATTTTAATTATAATTATAATATTTATTTCTATAATTTTAATTGTAATTATTACGCATAATATGATAATAACGAAAACAAAACTAATAACAATGACAACAACATAGTAAGAATAATAAATATCATAATAATAATAATAGTAATAATAATAATAATAATAACAACAACAACAATAACAACAACAACAACAATAATAATATTAATTATAATAATTACAATAACAACAACAAGAATAATAATAATTATAATTATTATAATTATTATAAATATTATTATAATTATTATAAATATTATTATAATTATTATTATTATAAAAAGGATAAATCATGTCTGAACTTTTCTGATCTGATCTGAATGTTCCTGATCTGATCTGAATGTTCCTGATCTGATCTGAATGTTCCTGATCTGATCTGAATCTTTCTGATCTGATCTGAATGATTCTGATCTGATCTGAATCTTTTTGATCTGATCTGAATTTTTCTGATCTGATCTGAATAAAATAAGAATAAGTAATAAGATTAAGACGAACATATCAGCTTCTTAATTAACCTCTTCTCATAACCATACGGATGGTAGTTTGGGAAAAAACTGACATACTCATAGTTTGGGAAAGATGTTGTCTTTTAGTAATATCTCTGATTATTTTCTCTTTTACGAATACAGTGCAAAATCAAATCCTACTTCCGTCCCATTGAAAGGTTCTCATTACAAAACGACAAGATTTTTAGAAAAAAATTAAATAAGGTATATAGTTCAAATATATTTTGAGAAATAATTTTTAATAGACATATAATGCAATGAGGTTAATGTTGATAACTATGATATCATAAATGTACGTAGTATTATTTTTCATACTTAATGATTTGATTCGTCATTTTACTCCGTATAAGATTGTAAGAATGTTTTTGCTTGGACTGTAATCTGTTCAAGACTAGATCAGACCAAACCAGAGTTGAATAATTATAAAAATACAAAAACCCCAGACCAAATCAAACAAGACAAGTTCAAACCAGATCAGACCAAACTAGACCATCAAATTGCCGTCCAAATAAAAACATTCTATATTGTTTCATACGGAGTAAAATGTAAATGTGAATCTTTGTATGAAATGTAGAGTTTTTTTAATGATGATACTACGTAGTATCGTATTAAATTGTTTGGATCCGCCGAAGGTCATCTATATAAGGGAAAATGTGCAAATAGGCCCATGTACTAACCAAAAAAGGTCAAATAAGCCCTTATTTAGGAGATTCTGTCCGGCCGTCGTCATTTGGGGTGGTTCCTGGTGGAATTTTTTGATGAAATTTTTTGAGCATTTTATTCATCAAGTCTAATTTAGGCATACCAAATTTAAGCTAAAACTTCAATCGGGAAGGCATTCAAATGAATTCTTGAATATAACCGCGCTTCTAACTGCGTAGTTATTTTCAAGAATTCATTTGAATGCCTTTCCGATTGAAGTTTTAGCTGAAATTTGGTATGAGTAAACTAGACTTATTTAATAAGATGCTAAAAAAAATTCATCAAAAAATTCCAACGGGAACCACCCAAATGGAGACGGCCGGACAGAGCCTCCTAAATAAGGGCTTATTTGATCTTTTTTGGTTAATACATGGGTCTATTTCCACCTTTTCCCTCTATATAATTAAAGGAACCTAATAAGAGGCTACAAAGACGCATATTAATCCGGCGCGGCGGAGAAATTGCTGAGATATTATTGTGGCCGTGGTTGTTTCTTGAATTGGCGTGACCAAAGTTTACCCCTTTAATTTGGGTGGCCATGCGTCCTACAATCGGATTTTTGGCTTACCTTCTCGCCGCCTCCTCCGCGGCGGTTCTTTCCGCTTTCTACCTCCACAACCACCACGCCTCTGGCGGCGGTTACGAATCACCCACGGCGCCTCTTTCCTCCTACATTAAACTTGCCTCCGAATCCCCTCTTCGATCCGAAGCCACAGTTTGGCCGGTACGTCACGTAAGGGCGCGTTTGGGAGAACGTCTCGAATTACAATCCTCGGGATTCAATAATCTCGACGCCCTACGGATTACGGAATGAACGTACTCCCAACCGCCGCTATTCTGCTTCTTAATGATAAAAAATGGAAGATGAAAAAAAGGCTGTTTTTTGTTTTTATTTAATTACCGGCCTTTTAGCTTCTTAGTCTGTTTGGCTTAATCAGGTTTCTGGAATTTGATATTGTAGGAGTTAAGGTTTTGCTGGAGGACGGTGTTGGCCACCGTGATAGGGTTCTTGGGGTCGGCATGCGGCACCGTGGGCGGCGTTGGAGGCGGCGGCATCTTTGTCCCAATGCTCACTTTGATTGTTGGATTCGATACCAAGTCCGCAGCCGCCCTTTCCAAATGTACGTAGTTGTTGAAAGAATTTTATTTTATGTAGCACAGAAATTCTGCGGAAACTCTCTAAACAAGCGTTTTTTGAGCAAAAGTTAGCGTTTTCCGTTTCTCATTGTTTTCGCGTTCCCGTGCAACACACTACGTACTAGTATATTTTATCATTTTGAATGTGTATTTCGACATTGAAATAAATATGCACTTCCACACACTTTTTAAGCGTGAAAAAACTTATACGAAGTATATTGATAAGAGCGTATCAGCGTTATATTCAATATGCTCTTGTAAGTGTGAGGAAATTTATTTGAACGAGCATGTCGACAATATCTATATTTTAAGTGCGAGAAAACTCGATTGATTCCAGGTATGATAATGGGAGCATCGGCATCATCGGTATGGTACAACCTGCGAGTGCCACATCCCTGCAGGGCAGTGCCAATAATAGACTATGATTTGGCTTTTCTGTTCCAACCAATGCTAATGCTGGGCATCACAATTGGCGTCGCTCTCAGTGTCGTCTTCCCCTATTGGCTCATTACCGTCCTCACCATCATTCTCTTCATAGGTACCACACATTCATTGCATGTACCCTTACTATGTAGCTGCCCTTGCTTTAATTTTTCTTATTTGACACAATTCTTTTGTTTATAGTTTTTGTGTGTGATTTTTTATTACTCTATTTGTTTTTATCAGGTTTTATTTAAATAGTACATTACTCCGTATTTGAATTTAGTTTATCTTGTCAGACACAATTCATTTCTATTTTCATTACTCTATTTCTTCTGTATTGGAGGTTTTTCGGAAATGAAATTCAATTTCCAAAAATTGACTACTTTTACCATTTACATATGTATAAAAATCAGATAAAAACTCAAAAGCAATCAATGTCAATATGTTACTCCCTGCGTCTAACCATAAGTATAAAAATCAGATATGTACGTATTTTACCAAATTGACTACTTTTACCATTTACATATGTATAAAAATCACATAAAAACTCAAAAGCAATCAATGTCAATATGTTACTCCCTACATATGTATAAAAATCAGATAAAAACTCAAAAGCAATCAATGTCAATATGTCAATAGTCAATACCCATATGGCTCCTGATTTTGTCTAACTTTTCTTTTTTGTTTGATTAAAAGAACTGTCATTTTTATTTTAAAGCAATGAATTTGTGACTCCTTAAAATTCTTTTTCCTCTGCACAAATCTCAACCACACAATTTTTATTATTCTAATTCCACAACTAACGAACATCAATCTCACATAATTGAGTGAGACAAAGTTAGTATGAAAAGTCTATTCTGTCACTTTTGACTGCCATCAAACTTTTTAGTTGACCATTTTCAACAAAGTTTCAAAAGTAAAAACAAAATGAACAAAAAAAACCAGTAAAATTTTCCAGCAGCCGACGTTTGAAAAATAAGAGTTAGGTAAATTTTCATCTTTGGATTGAGAAGTGTATGTATAGGTCATATTTTTGTCTAAGGTTTTTCTTTTTCTTTAATGCTTTCACTTCGACGGTTACACAATAAGTTTCCTTCTAAATAGGTGTACCAACTAGTATATACGTAGTACTATTCTACAAATTAAAGATCCTTAACATTATTACTTTTAGGTTTAATTAAAATTAAATTGATTTTTTTCCGTTTCAAGATACCCAGAATATCAATAGGCATATATGCAATCAAAATGAAGGGAATTCTATATTTGACAAAATGTGAAACGAAACAAAATGTTTACCTTTATTTGGAAAACATAAATATGAAATAAAATTAAAGGGAAGTTCTTGACTTTATATGTATTTATGTATAGCTCAACACTTTATAATGGTAATGGCAAACTTAGCTTACTTAACATTGTATTGCTGAAATAGCTGCATTATGAAGACAAACTACATTTGCATATATGATTTTTGTAACCTATCCTTGGATGAACAGGCACATCTTCAAGGTCAGCTTTTAAAGGGATAGAAATGTGGAAGGAAGAAACTAAGTTGAAGGTTAGTTTTTACTTGACATTAGTAATTATTTAGGAAAAGAATCAAAACATTAAAAAGAATTTACTCCAAATAAGAGTAAATATATACAAAGTGTACAAATAAGAGTAATTATACTCCATATTTTATCACCAACATATATAAGAATTATTTGGTTCTAATAAGCGTATATATAAATTATACGTAGTAAAACTTCTTCATTTATGAATGAACGAACGAGTCCCATTTTAAGAAGAAAAGAATGATGATTCTATTTTTATACCTTTTCTTAATTATGTTATTCCTATTTAGGGAAAAAAATAATGCTGAACTCCGTATCTGTCAAATGTTAAAGTGGTTAAACAAATATACGATTGTGCAAATTTCTTGAAAATATAAAAAAAGATTGATAGTAGGTCTACGAAAAAATGTAAAAAATATTCTTGCAAATGTTCAACAAGTATAATTGTTATTGTTAATTCTAAAAAAATTTGCCTTGTCACTTTTTACACATCCTACTTTTTGAAAAAATGCAGAATTCGGAAGCTGAACGTCAAACAATCGTCAATTCACACGGGGAACGTAAGTTGTATTCAAAGAATCAAAAGTGACATTTTATGAATGTAAAATATGTTAAAATATATTTTAAATATTCTCTTGGCCTGTTTGCATAATAGATAATTTAAGTCTATATATTGATATAATTTGCCTCAGTTGAAATTAATACCGGATATGAGCCTCTGGTCCCTAAGGAAGAGAGAACAGGATTGGTAAGCCGCTTTTATTTTTATGATTATTCAGATTTAAAGAATGAAATGTTTGTTATCAAAGCTAGCTGTTTGTGTGCGTTACAGATGTTGATCACATTTACTACATAATAATCTTTCAGCAATTAATGATGTACAACATGAATGTGAAGAAAATGCTTGTTCTATTTCTTGTGTGGATTTCCTTTCTGCTCCTCCAAGTCTTCAAGGTATTTTTTTTTCTCTAATTTTTTGCCCCTCAAAATAAATGTCTTTTCCAAACACTATTTTCCAAACCAATGATGTTAAACTCCCCTTTTATTCACTCAAACACTAAAGTCAATGATGTTAAACTTTGACCGATTCTATATTCATACACGTTAATATTGATAATATGAAAATGATATGAAAATGTTCTTTGTTAAAAATACTATCATAAAAGTATAAATTTATTACTCCGTATTAAGTTTCACATAAATATATTAGTACAAATAATGGATCAAAGTTTATCATCTTTGACCGACAAAATTAAAATTGGCTAAATAAAAAGGGACAGAGGTAGTATATACAAAGTATATGCTAAGGCCTTCAATTATTTCTTGTGATTGTTGTGGTGAATTGTTAATAAGTTTTTTCTCTCTCAAAATCTCATTCATATAAAACTTATTTACATAAATATGACAGAAGTTAATATAATATTGTGTTAAAGGTAAACATTGGACATTTGGACATAAGTTATTATTATCACCAAATTAAATTGTCACGATATATAAGATACATATTTTGTAACAATCTTCATTTTAATCGTAAGTATATAATTATTTCTATCATTATTACCAATAAAATCATAAGATTTAGCCCGCAACTTATTCGTTCATCCATTAATGGTCTTATATAATTTTATTTAATCGCATAGCAAGTATTGTAATAAATATTTGATTTGAAGAACTTTTTCGCGAGAATATACAATTTCCGATTAAACCATAGTTACAAAACATTAGGGAGTATTTGCAAATAAAATTACAAAACTAATAGGCGGCAGGTGTAGCCGTCACAGGTGCACACACAAAAGTTATGGTAAATATGTAGATCGATCTACCTTACTCATATTATTATCATTAACAATTACTACGTACAATACTTCAATTTTTTTACACCGTGAATTGAGAACTTGTCTTATTGTACAGAACGATGTCGTTGCATGCAGTCAGTTGTATTGGTTATTGAACTTATTACAGGTACACCCATTACATATTACATTATTATAACCTATAGTACATTATTACTTCTTTTTTGAATGAAATGATATATAAAATTCCGAAAAAATGAAATGATATACTAGTATCATAATGTGAAAGTTGCCTCACTTTTGACATAGAAAATAATGCTCAAAGTCGAGCAAGTCTCAAAATTTATAAAGTCCTATATATAGGGAGAATATGATTATATATGCTTATAGTCATATGAACATATATGGTTCTTCAATAACAATTCATTTTTATCATGGAGGATCCCATTTTAAAAATGAATCGTTATGATTTGTTCACCCATGCCATAACATCAAACTTGTTTTGAATCCTTTACTTTGTAGACTTCTTAATTTGTGAATGTAATTGTGAGAGGTATAATTTAAAAAAATATTTCAACATGCACAATGTCATACTAGTTGTACAATTTTTAAATTGAAATATGGTCAATTGGTCTTTGATTTTATTATTCACTATCTCTCTCTTTGGGGCTTAAAGTTTCCGGTTGCATTGGGATTATTTGGATGCGAATGTGTGAAACTTTATACAGAAAGCAAGAGCCGGAAACTCTCAGGGAACCAAGAAATGATATGCGAGGCCGCCATTGACTGGACAGCGATGAACCTCGCTTTGTGTGCCCTTTGCGGCGTCGTAGGCGGAACTGTCGGCGGCTTATTGGGTTCAGGCGGAGGTTTCGTTCTGGGTCCTCTACTGCTCGAGATTGGCGTAATGCCACAGGTATCTATCAATAATTCAATCATCATTTACCCCAGTGCCGCAAAGGCTCCACATACGGTGGGGTAAGGGGGAGGTCGGATGTACGTAGTTTTACCCCTGTACTAATCAACGGTTTCTGGATGACCCATAATGAAAATCACGTCCAAAATTGTATGAACTGACTCCTGCTTCATAACAAAGAAGAGCTGACAGTTTGGTGAACCATTTTGCTTTATTCCATCAGATTTTCAAGCCAAAAAATAATGAACTTTTGACTCCATTGCAAATGATGAATCATACTCAGCTCTATCAATAATTATTAGGGAAAATTACTATTAGCCCCCTGAGGTTATGTCATAATTATTAATACAACCTTGCATTTCAAAAAATCAATTAATTACCCCCTGAGTTTGGATCATTCTCACTCTTTGCCCCCTCGAGTTAATATTTGTCACATAAAATTTAATATAACTCTTAAGTCCAATGAAAATTGTCTATAAAATTAATTTTTAAAGTAAAACACAAATGCTTATCATAATTATAAACCATTGTTGTCGATCGTTATTTTTCTACTTAGCTACTTCATCATGGAATAAATATTATTTAGAGTAGTTAAGAGAAAATACTCACAGATAAGATATAAAATATCATAAATTTTATTGTTTTTAGTTTAAAATATTAATATCATATAATATTATAAAACTAATAAACTTTTTACTTAAAAAACTTTTGTAAATATGAAATCGTCACAAATTAGTAACAGAGTTAATAAACAAATTAAATAAATTAAAATCTATGATACTTTAAGTCTTAGATCGGTATCTTTCAATTATTCAGGTACTATATCAACACATTCTATCTTTCAGGTCTCTTATTGATTCTAGACCTATCTTTTAGGTCATGAAATGGAATGATAAAATTCATTTTTTCTTGGTATTTCTTCTTTGCTACACAAAAATAAAATGTCATTGAGATTAATTCAACCGAATGAATAACAAATAATTATTTTATATTCATGATCATGAAGAAGTGTCTAGGGTGTTGATAACACATTTTTTAAACAACTTTCTTTGATGCATCCCATGAATATTACTTGTGAGTCTTTCTCTAAACTACTATCATTAATAGTTATTCCATGATCGATTAGCTAATAAATAGAAAAATAACGATCAAGAACAATGATTTATTATTAATTTTATAGGCAACTTTCATTGAATTTAAGAGTTATATTAAATTTAATTTAACAAATATTAATGTGAGGGGGGATATAGTGAGAATGATCAAAACTCAGGGGGTAACTAATTGCTTTTTGAAAATACAAGGTTGCATTAATAGTTATGGCATAACGTGAGGGGGCTAATAGTAATTTTCCCTAATTATTATACCTAAATATTTCAACCTAAAATATTATTCACCGTGCAATGCTCACAAATATAAAAGTAATGTAAAATGGATTCAATGTGTGGAATTTTGACCGTCAAAGTAAATTTTTTGTTCCGAAATTTGAATAATTTTATCAATTGAAAAATTTACATATAATTATGGACTTATTATGGTGCCTATTTCTTTAAAAAAATACTACGTACTACGTATATGTATTGACATAGATAATATTATTAATAACAACAACAATAATATAATAAAAGACAAAATGAATAATGATAAAAGTACTAAATTAGCAATGAAATAATGATAAGAATAATAATTTGAGTCAAGTAATTAAAAAAAAACTCTTTTAAGTAATAACACCAATGCTAATTAGGTCATCTAACAAAATGTACCGTGCTTAAAAGAATAATGAGTACCCACCATAACACCATAAGTGGTATTTTAAGATTAATTTCGTGAAAATATAGGACGTACACTAAAATCATGCATAAATCTTCTTCTAAAGTTAATTGAGGGTTTTTTAAAAGTATTGCGTAGTATTAAAATAAAATTGATGGGTAGAAATGTGATTAAAATATTTTGATTTTGTTATCATCATGATATATACAAACTGGACATGGTCGTAGTAATCACAGAATCACTAAAACTTGTTATGTCATTTTTTATCTATCATAATTATTTTAGGCATATTTTAATCATTAATTTCAAGTTAAGTATATCTTCTCGACTTCTAATTTAATTTGGAGACCATTATTAATTGGCTCAGGATGTTAATACGTGCTTCTACGTAGCTACCAATTATTACCTAATCTTTTCGCGGAAATAATTTGAAAATAACTGCGCAGTTATCCTCAAGAATTAATTTGAATGCCTTCCCAATTGAAGTTTTAGCTAAAATTTGGTATGAGTAAACTAGACTTGATGAATAAGATGCTAAAAAAAATTCATCAAAAAATTCCACCGAGAACCACCCACCCCAAATGACGACGGTCGGACAGAACTTCCTAAATCAGGACTTATTTGACCTTTTTTTGTTAGTACATGAGCCTATTTGCACCTTTTCCCTTTCTTTATTAAAAAGTTTGATATGAGTATGTAATTATTTGTAATTGCAAAATCATTTAATTGTGCTCATGACCTAATTTAATTCTTCATTCTTCATTGGTGGCAACTAACTTTTGACTCAAATAAAAACATTGATTGATTTGGCACTGTCATTTTGACGAATATTTTTGCACGGCTCACAATCAATTTAAAGCACATGTCGCCAACGTGAAGTTAGAAGTGGCAAAATCAAATTAGGATTTGAGCAAATCCACATGTGTTTTCCGTCTATATGACACTACCTCACTCCCAATTTATTGGAAAAAGGGTCAAATAAACTCATCTACTATTGCAAAAACATCATCATCTAGACCCATCTACTAAAAAAAAGCATCATCTAAGCACATTTAGTACAAGAAAACCATCAAATAGGTCAATTGACCCATCCCTTTTTTTAATTTCTTTTTCTATTATTTTTTGCTTCAATCTGTTGTACTCCGTTCTTTATGTTTCTCGTTTGTACTAGGAGTACATTTTATGTATTTTCCTAATTGTTTACCTTCATTTATCTTTCTCGTTTGATCACATTTCCGTTCATTTTTTTTTTTATTTCCTTTTAACTTTTCTTTTTCGTTTTTTTCTTCTTCCTTCCGTCTTAGGATATTTTAGTTGATTTTTTCCAGTTCCAAGTTGGTTCCAATTAGTATTTAAAAGTGGTCATTATTAATATAATTAGTAGTGGTATTATATTCAGCTCCAAAATTATGTTTTGTGGCGGATCACTTTTCCGGGTTGCAAAATACGAAGTACTACATGCGTCCCGAAAAGATTCGCTATATTGACTTTTCTTGGTCAATATGACAAACTTGGGATAATGATTTTAATTATTACTCCGTATATATGTATATAATTTATAAATTTTATACTTTTATAAAAATATTTTGAATAAGAAACACTTTGATATAATTTTAATATTCAAAATAATTTCGTACTACCTCCGTCCCATATTAGTTGTCCACTTTCAATTTGGCACGCTTATTAATAAAGTGGTTGAAAAGTAAAAGTTGCGGTTGAAAATTGAGTAGAATAAAGTGAAATGATAAGAATCACATATTTCTTGCCAAAAAGAGAAACAAGACATCCATTTTGGGACAACCCAAAAAGAAATGTAGGACAACCAAAATGGGACGGAGAGAGTATTAAAAATATCATTGATTAAAATTGATTGTCATTGATAAAAAAAATCAATTTGGCAAACCTTTTTGGGACGAAGTGAGTATCATTTGCGGTAAAGTTAATAGGTACTAACATGCGACCATTTTTTGTGTTCGCGATTAAACACGAGTGACCATTTATTTTGTTTTTACACCCACTTTCCCCCTGCAATGTTTAATTGCAAACCAAAAAATTGGTCACATGTTTGTCCCTATTAACTTCACTGCAAATTATACTCCATTCGTCCCGAAAAGGTTAGACAAATTGATTTTTTTGGTCAATGACAATCAACTTTAATCAATGATATTTTTAATACAAAATTATTTTGAATATTAAAATTACATCAAAATGTTTTTTATTCAAAATATTTTCATAAAATTATAAAATTTATAAATTATTTACATATATAATAATTAAAATCATTATCCAAAATTTGTCATATTGACCAAGAAAAGTCAATATAGCAAATCTTTTCAGGGAGGATGTAGTACTTCGTATTTTGCAACCCGGAAAAGTGATCGGCCACTATAAATTTTTGGAGCTGAATATATATTAATAATGACCACCTTTAAATAGTAATTGAAACCATTATCGTTTGTTTAAAACAAATGTATCGGTAAACTTTTGGAGGTAAAACTAAGCCATGGACCAAAAATCTTATAGACAATAGTAGTGTGGTACAAACAAAAATGTTACAAACTACGTTATAAAACCTGAACACTTTTCTATTCACATTTTCAAAAAATGGTATCGATAATATTTGGAGGTAAAACTAAGCCATGGACCAAAAATTTCGATTCAATATGGTGTTGTTTGTTTTGTCTAGTACGATCGAGTAAACATATGATTTGTACTCCGTATGTATTTAATTTTATTATTAACTACTGGCGTGATCTAATTTGGAACTGGAAAAAATCAATGAAAATATCCCAAGACATAAGGAAGAAGAAAAAAGCTAAAAGGAAATTAAAAGGAAATTAAAAGCAAATAAAAAAGAAAAAAGAACGGAAATATGATTAAACGTGAAAGATAAATGAAGGTAAACAATTAGGAAACTACATAAAATGTACTCCTGGTACAAACGAGAAACATAAAGAACGGAGTACAAGAGACCGAAGCAAAAAAATAGAAAAAGAAATTAAAAAGGGGTTGGGAAGAAAGAAGACAACAGCTAGAAATCCTGGAAATGTGACCGGCTATTATCGGTTGTTTTTAGGTCAATTGACATATTTGATTGTTTTTTTAGTAAATGTACTTAGATGATTCTTTTTTTTTAGTAAAAGGGTCTAGATGATGGTTTTGCAATAGTAGAAGGGTTTATTTGACCCTTTTTCCCAATTTATTAGTCATCTTTGACTTTTCCAGTCAAAGATGGTAAACTTTGAGCAATTATTTTAACTAATATATTTATACAAAATATAATAATTTTATATTTTTATGATAGTATTTTCAACAAAGAACATTTTCAAAAAAAAAACAAAGAACATTTTCATATCATTTTCATATTATCAATAATTTCTCTATATAATCGGTCAAAGTTAGACGCCGTTGACTAAAGTCAAGTTTGGCTAAGTAAAATGGGACGAAGGGAATATGATGTACTACATTATTGATTGATATAATTGATGTTTGGTGACATATATACTCCGTATAGGTTTTATTATTGCTTCATTGTCTAATTTGTATGCTCGTTTTTTTTTTAAATATTCTTAGCATTGAACTCTCTTTCAAAACATCTAAACTTAAACCCTTTTAGGATGTTTTTACTTGGAGTGAAATTTGCTGATCTGGTCTAATTGATAATGTCTGATCTCTATGTATTTTATACGAGTACATAGTAATTGTCTAAGTCCGGTCTGGTATGGTCTGATTTGGGACTAAAAACGGTGAAGTAAAAATATTCTTAAACCTCATCTCCCTTCCAAGTTCCAATAAACATATTAGGGGGTGTTTGGAACTAATTTTGCTTCTGCTTCTTTTTTAAAGCAGAAGCAGAATCAGAATCAGTTTTCAGAAGCTAGTACCCCCAGCTTAAAAAAAACTGATTCTGAGAGTAAATTAGAGGCCAGAAGTGCTTCTGGAATTTCACCCAAACACTCTAGTTTCTGCTTCTGTTCCCTGAAGGAGCAGAATCAGTTTTGAGAATCAGATCTAAACACCCCCTTAGTTCATGTCATTATTTATCAGTCACCGATGTTCCAGCTATGTATTTACTTTCTTTATTCCATTAAGATTGTCTCATATTTCCTTTTCGATTCGTCCAACTAAGATTGTTGCATACTAAATTTGATAAAATTGATGTGGTTCTAAATCCCTTTTACTTTATTTTTAATTTATCAGTTCAATATCAACTAAATAAACTCACTTATCTTATTAATCGTGTTACCTCCCATGTGCCAAGATATGTTAGTATAATATTCTAACCTTATTCAATTCATTCACATGGGTGATTGATTGGGCAATGTTTTTTTGTTTTGTTTTTGTCTCGCAGGTTGCAAGCGCGACAGCAACCTTTGTGATGATGTTCTCTTCGTCCCTATCGGTTGTTGAGTTTTATCTCCTAAAAAGATTCCCTATCCCCTTTGGTACACTCTTAACCTTTCACATTGCCCAATTATTGCCAATTTGACGGAAAGAGTTTGAGATAATATAATACGGAGTAATAATTAAGGGGAAAAGTAAGAAACTACCAAAGAGAATGAGAAAAGGTAGGGAAAATGAAAACAAGTGAAAAATGTAATAAAAATAATGAGAAAATTGGGTATCAAAATTAGGGTAAAATTTCTAAACAGGAAAATTGAAAAAAATAAGATTTGAAAACGGGAAGAATTTGCGACAACTAAATGGATGGAGTAGTTTTTGTACGTTTTCTACTGTATAAATAATTTGTAGACTTAAATATTTTTTAGCCCATTCCTATGAACTTTTTTCAAAATATTTTTGAAATAAAACCTATTTGCAAAAATAAGATTAAAAGTTACTCCGTACTATATAGTACAATGTCATGATAACTTAAGAATAAAAAATTGAACATAAGTTATCATGACTAAAGTTATCGTTGTAGTCGTTACGTTCACTTAAGGAGTGTTTGCAACTGCTTCTGATTAAAAAAAACACTTTTGGAGATGTAAGGAAAAAGTGATTAGTAGTAAAAGTTGATAGTGTTTGAGAAAAAAAATGATTTTGAAAAGAAAAAGTTGGTAGTGTTTGGTAAAATAAGTGTTTTTTGTATAATAGAAAAGGGAAAACACTTTTCACACGCAAACCGAGAAAAAGTAAAAATTGGTAGTGTTTGGTAAATAAGTAATTTTTTAAGTCAAAAGCTGAGAAGTACTTTTTTAAGTTGTTGCAAACACATCCTTAAATGTTACATTTTATAAACAACATTTAATCTAATCATAAATACTTCGTACGTAATTATTTCTTCAGTTGCGATATTTTTTGTCCTTGTCCGTGTAAAATATTTCCTTTTGTGTTTTAATCTCTTCAACATATGTTGGTTTGAGTAAAAAATCATCAGGTTTTAAAACGCAAAGAGAATAAGATGAAAAGGGCAAAGGAAAAAATTGTGTTTCCAAATTTAAGTGCAAAGATGAAAAATGCATCACGTTATAAGATTTAGTTTTTTTATGGCATTAGAAAGAAGAAAACATGTCGACTATTTTTTGTGTCATAGTGAAATAGAGTTTGCTAATATCTTTGAGTAGACTAAATAGGAAAAATAACTTTAGTTAAATAGGGTTGGAAAATGACATAAAGAGACTAAATAGGATTATTAAAAAAAGAGAGACTAAATAGGAAAAATAACTTTAATTATATAGGGTTGGAAAATGACATAAAGATAATACATGGACTTAGGGGTGCAAACGAGCCGAGCCGAGCCCGAGCATGGGTATGCTTGAGCTTGAGCTTGATAAGAATTCACGAGTTCGAGCTCGATCTCGAGCTTGGACGAGTTAAATAATTCGAGTTCGATCTCGAGCCGAGCTCGACTCGAGCTCCATTCGAGCTTGATTCGAGCTCAAGTCAAGTTTCACTAATTAATTTTATAGGTTTGAACTCGAATAAGATGCTCGAATTCGAGCTAAATAATATTATATGTGTACTTATTCATTCTCATTTTTAGTTTATCTCTCATTTACTAAAATTTATATTCTTTATTTTATTGTCAATAAATATTAAGAGTACATATTATAATTATTACAGATTATGGTTATAATAATAATACTACGCACATGTTATTATTTTTGAAATTATTACTATTATAATATACTCTGTGATAAGTATTGAAAATCGAATAGTCCTACATTAGAATATATATTTCAAAAAAGTATATATATATATATATATATATATATATATATAATTATTACATATATATTAATTATATATAAAATATGATACAAAAGCTCGCGAACCGGCTCGCGAGCCACGAGCCTAAAATAAATAGGCTTGAATAGAGCTTGTTAACTATTCGAGTCGAGCCGAACTCGAGTCGAGCTTAATATGACCGAACTCGAGTCGAGCTTTTTCCGAGCGATCCACGAGCAGCTCGCGAGCGGCTTGGCTCATTTACACCCCTACATGGACTTAACAAAAGCACTAGATTAAACTAAAAACATACCGAGTATTTAATTTGTTTTTGGAAAAACTGTCAAATAGGTTCCCGAACTTTCATAAAAAAGTCAATTAAGTCTTTCTATAGGAGACTCTGTCCGGTCATCGTGATTTGGGACGATTCCCAATTGAATTTTTAGCTGAAATTTGGTATGAGTAAACTCGACTTGGTGAATAAGATGCTCAAAAAATTTCATCAAAAAATTCCACGGGGAACTACCCCAAATCACAACGGCCGGACAGAACCTCATAGAAGGACTTATTTGACCTTTTTATGAAAGTTCGAGAACCTATTTGACAGTCTTCCCTTTGTTTTTCATTTCGCAATTGATTATTTTTGTAATCGTACAAGATATATTTCTTATCGACATAAATACACAATTTCATTCAAAAAAACATTCACAATAGAATAGCTGAATAAGGTACGTGACTGATATATGATGATCCACAATATTGTGCAGCTATATACCTCACAAGTGTGTCGGTTTTGGCGGGATTCTGGGGTCAATTTTTGGTAAGAAAAATCGTGACAATCCTAAGGAGGGCCTCGATCATCGTTTTCATCCTGTCCGGCGTTATTTTTGCCAGTGCTCTTACAATGGGTAAGAAGCTGTTCTCTTCGCCTGATCTGAATGTTTCTGATCTGAATTTTTTAAGTTCTGATCTGATCTGATCTGAATTTTTCTGATCTGATCTGATCTGATCTGAATCTTTCTGATCTGATCTGATCTGATCTGAATCTTTCTGATCTGATCTGATCTTATCTGAATCTTTCTGATCTGATCTGAATGTTTCTGATCTGGTCTGATCTGATCTGAATCCTTCTGATCTGATCTGAATCCTTCTGATCTGATCTGAATCTTTCTGATCTGATCTGATTCAAATATTTCTATGCTTATAATTATAATTATAATTATAATTATAATTACAATTATTATAATTGCAATTACAAATATAATTTAAAAAAAAACTATAATTATAATTGTAATTATAATTACAATATTTATCTCTATAATTGTAACTATAGTTATTAATATTATTATAATTACTCCGTAAAATAATTACAATAGTAATAATAATAATAATAATAATAATTATAATAAAAATAATAATTATAATCATAAATTATAGTTATAATATAATTATAAGTATAATTATAATTATTATAATTATAATTAATAATAATTATAATTATATTAACATTAATTATAATATTATAATATAATAATAGTAATATAAATACAATTAATATTATTATAACGATATTATTATATTAATATTTTTATTACAATAATATAATAATAATAATATGATTATTATTATAATTAGTATTATATTATTATAATATTATATTATATTTATAATTATAATCATAATTATAATTATGATTGTAATTATAATTATAATTATTATAATTATAATTAATTACAATTATAAATATAATTAATTATAGATATAATTATAATAATTACAATTGATTATACTTATAATTATAAGAATTATAATTGTAATTATAATTATAATTACATATAATTATAATATAATATTATAATAATATTAATCATATTATTATTATTATTATAATGTTGTAATAATAATAGTCTTCTTAACAATTGCATTTATATTACTATTATTATATTAAAATATTATAACTATTATAAATATCTTTTTATCATATTATTATTAATATTATTAATAATAATTATATAATAATAATCATAATAGTAATAAAAATAATAATAATAATAATAATTAATATTTAATATAATAATAAAAGTGATAAATCATGTTTGAACTTTTCTGATCTGATCTGATCTGAATGTTTCTGATCTGATCTGAATGCTTCTGATCTGGTCTGATCTGATCTGAATCTTTCTGATCTGATCTGAATCTTTCTGATCTGATCTGAATCTTTCTGATCTGATCTGATCTGATCTGAATCTTTCTGATCTGATCTGATCTGATCTGAATTTTTCTGATCTGATCTGATCTGATCTGAATTTTTCTGATCTGATCTGATCTGATCTGAATAAAATAAGAATAAGCAATAAGTAATAAGAATAAGACGAACAGAACAGCACCTAAATTCCGAATTTCCTTTTCAACAAATAAATGCATTTTGTTTTTTACAATTTTACCCACAATATTCGGACTAGTTACGTTATATATGTTGCACGGAAATGTGAAAAATTGCAAAAATGGGAAACGAGAAATAGACAAACAATTATTTGAAGGGAAAGTTCCCAAAATAGGACTTACAAAGTTTGAAAATTCCAAAATACTGTCATGTTTGAAGTCTGGTACTGCCAAAACATGACAGTAATTAGTCCTATTTTGGGAATAAAAACATGGTAGTCCTATTTTGTAATTTTCAAACTTTGTAAGTCTTATTTCGGATAATATTCTCTTATTTGAATAATTTCCTGAGTCTACATAGATTTTTCGAAACGAAAACGTACATTTTCCCAAGAATTTTCTAGGCATGTTGAATGAAGTTAGGTTTGATAAAATTATAATCAATGGGCCAAAACCTAAATGATACCTAAGATATATTACCTTCGTCCCAACATAAGGTTCCCATTAAAATGACACATTTTTAGACAATAGGTAAATAAAATAATTTCATAAATAATTTGTGTGGGTATATACTAATTGGGCGATTGGTTTTTAAACTGTCATTTAAGAATGTGGATAGAAGACTTTCCGCCCAAAAAATGAGAAACACTAATCGCCGATACTTGATATAACTAATACCAAATTAACACCACATTGACTACTTTCAACTTAACAGTCACTCGACAAATGCAGGATTATGGAGGTGTTTGAAACTGATTTTGCTTCTACTTCTTTTTTAAAATTATGAGTAAAATTAGAATCAATTTTTGGGAAGCTGGTCAAAAGTAGTTATGTATTTTCATCCAAACACTCAAGTATTCCGCTCCTTCAAGGGGCAAATGCCGTTTTAAGAAGCAAATCCAAACACCTCCTCTGTATCAATGTAGCTTGGATAGTCATTACTAACTATTAGTGACTATTTATGATTTAATTTTCACATATGAGGAAAATTTCAGACAATTTACATATGAAAAACTTTAATCTTCACATTATTTTTAATATTTAATTATTGAAATGTCATTTAAGAATGCAAATAGAAGACTTTGCCGCAAAAAATGGGGAACATTATTTATCAATAATTGCGATAATCAGTGGCGTATCCAGAAACTTTGGCGAGTGGGGGCAAACTTGACTACAATTTAGTCTCATATTTCACAAATAACAAATCACATTATTAATATTGTTTGATTAAATTTAGTTTATAATATCTATGTACAAGTATGAAAAAAAGAAGATTAATTTATATTACGGGTGTGTAAAGATGTAATTGCAAATAAAATGTAATAAATTTACCTAAATATAAGTTAAACAGTCTTAAACATAACATAATTTAGTGAATTTTTTAGCCTTTCATTCTTTTAATATTAAAGAAAACACTTCTAATCCTATTTTAGAATTTTTTTCTACATTTAACTCTTAATTTGAGTAATTTCTTGTAAAAATTTGGACATATATATAGGGGTTGGGTTGGGGTTGAGTGGGGGCAGCTGCCCCCGCTGCCCCCATAGTAGATACGCCACTGGCGATAATACCAAATATTTAGGAGCAGTTATTGAAAACTTATACTTTTTAGAGCATCATCAATGATACCAAGTCTAGTCTGAATAAAATATTCCACTTGTCAAATAAATAGGAGGCTTTCTAATCCACATAATATAGGCTGACTATACATTAAAATACGAAAGAATGTTCCAATGCAAAAGTGTAAGACTTGAAATCACGTAGGTTAAGTAAATTATATCCAAGGAAAAGAAAAATAAAAAAACATTTGCAAAGTCATTTTCATGGAAAATTGCCATTCGTGTCTCAATTTTTCCTAACTTTTCGGACGTGCAAAGTGATATTTCTTGCGGTTTCCCTTTTTATTTGTCCAGTCATCAAGTGAGCAAGGCTTTCTAACCCGAACATTTAACTTGACGGTGTCTAATTTTTTTTTTTTTGCCAAATCATCAAAATTGAATGGAGGACTACATGCATTGGAGAGGAAATTAAATGAACAATGTTCAAATTGATGATATGGCACACTTTATTTGGATTAGACTTGAATGCAATGGAGATGCTCAAACCACATTAAGTACTTTCAACTTAACAATCACTCGAGATTGTAAGACTATGTATCCATGTAGTCTAGATAGTCATAAGTAGCACTCTCTCCGTCCCGCTAAGATTGTCTCATTTTACCTTTTTGAGAAGTCCCATTAAGATTGTCTAATACCAAATTTTGTAAAGATTGTGTGAGTCTAAATCATTCTTACTTTATTCTTACTTTATCAATTTAATATCGACCACACAAACTCACTTTACTTAATAATCGTGTCACCTTCTTTCGTCTCAATCTTAGTGGGACGGAGGTAGTAATAATTTGATCTTCGCATTGATGAATGTTTAACACAACGTACACATGAAAATTTTGAATTTGTCCATTTGCATTCTCTACCGTGAAGTGTCCTTTTAATTGCAAACTTTAATTTTTTAATGGTCTGATCTTTGTAGGGGTCATCGGTGTGGAGAAAAGCATGAGTATGATACAGAATCACGAGTTCATGGGATTCTTAGACTTCTGTAGCAGCCAATGAGATCAAAGAAGGGCAGCACAGAAGAACACATTACTTAATAAATGGAGCAAAAAGTCTCGACATTGGTCAATGAGTTGTTGACCACTTCCAAATGCTCATAGAAGCTATATGCTTACTCCACATATATTTATATATATCCACTTCTGGCCGAGGGTTAGCCAGCGCTAACACAGTGCCATGCAAGTAGAGCATTTCCCTGTCTCAGTTTCTGTAATTCTCTTTTTTTGTTTTTAATCTTGTTGTCTTTGTTACGTTGTTAATTAGTGGATGTACACTAGAGCTCTGGTGGGCTGATAATTAGGGCGAAGTAATTTTTCCTTAATCTTGTTTTTAGTATAATTGCTTTCACTTTTCTTATTTTGCCCATCGTAATTTTATTACTCGTATCATTCTACTACTACGTATAGTACTCAGTAATTTTTCATCCCTCCGTTCCCAAAAATACTTCTCACTTTCCTTTTTGGGCCGTTCCCAAAAATTCTTCCCACTTTCCCTTTTTGGACAATTTGTGAGGCTCACATTCATTTTACCTTTTTCTCACACAACCACAACCACACATTTCCACTTTATTCCACTTTTTTAATAAGCGTGCCAAGTCAAACCGGGAAGAATTTTTAGGAACGGAGGTAGTAATAATTATTACGAAGTACAATTTAAAATACTTTGTTCTGGTTCTGAACCAATTCCAAACACTCCCTTAATTAAATCTCATACTCGGTATATAATTGCATGGCTTGGCTAAAAATGGCTTCATTAGCAATCATAACATATATGTTTCGTATATAATGACTAATTGACTATGTTTGTATTAATTAGAGAGACAATTCTAATTGATCGAGCGAAGACTTGGGTCTCATCAAGCTTTTGGTTAAGGTGGTTTCCATGATACCCATAAGGTACCATACCTTTGTCCATATGGACCAATGAAAATGTAACAGTTGAATTATTTAAATCTAAATTAAAATTGATATAGTGATGTGGTCCAATCAAATGAATGCTACGTACGGTACCCCTGTTTTTAGAAAGGTACCGGAGTTGTCACCTTTGGTTAAACCCATTAACCCAAATTTTATCCTTTTACTAGTATCTTTACCCGTGCCGTGCACGGGATAAAATACTTTTTTTATTGTTTTAATAATGGAAAATCACTTATTTAACCAATTATAATAATGCATATTTTAATTTATGGAGTATGTCTTAAATTATATGTGAACTAAACATCCAGACATGTTTCGAATCTATATTTTCCCATGAAAAGAGCAATTTTTGTATAACTCTCAGATCCATTCATATGAAACTAATCTATCTTTATCTAAAAAACAAAAAAAAATTAATGCCTATTTTTATCCATTAAATTCAATTCGTGGCTTAATTTTTTTTCAAATCTAACTACACATTTTTGTAATTTATTTATCTAAAAATGGGTGTAGTCAATTTTTTTGTTGATATTACTTCTGTGTTTTAGAAAATTTTAAATTAGTCATTTGATCACTTTCTTTAAGAAAATATTTTAGAATATATAGTTTTTTGACATTTCAATTTTAATGAAGGTGATGACGCAGGGGCGGATCTATAAACTCTAATTAATGAGGCACTTATAAAGAGAAAATGAAAAATTCAAATAATTTTTTTTATATTAACTTCAAATTTTGAAGTTAACCATTATTAGCAAAATGAAAAATAGTATGGAGTAGTATTACGGAGTACACTTTACATAACTGCTCTCTTCAAGTTTTTATTTTTTAAAAAGGGAAAATAAATAAAATACCCCAAATTTTGAAGGAGTGTGAGATAAACACCCCAAATTAACTTTCATATGTTATTTAAATACTCCAAACTTTATATAAAAAGTTATTTTAGCACCATGCCCATAAATTATTTTTACAAAAAAAAAATTAAGGTGGTAATTGCATAATTTAAAATAGAAATATTAAAATGTTGCAGATATATAGAGTGGAAGTAGTATTTTTTATTTTACAACGGAAGTTTAGAATGTCAATTGTATCTTCATGAATGTTAAAATATTTTAAATTATAAAATCATCACGGATAATTAAAATTGGTGAAAGAAGTAATGCATAACCATGGTGCTAAAATAACTTTTTATAAAAAGTTTGTGGTATTTAAATTTACATATGTCAGTTTGGGGTGCTTATCTCACACTCCCTCAAAGTTTGAGGTATTTTAATTATTTTTCCCTTTTTAAAATGGTCTTTCACAATTTCGTTAATAACAATTCCATTGCGTATAGTAGTCTTTATAATGTTCGTTGAATAAAAATATCTTTCAATTATTGCACAAAAAAAAATCTTTTAACTATGTCAATTGTAACAAACCAAATAAATGGTATGTGATTTTTATAACTGAGTCCCAAGGAAGGGTATAAAAAGTTGGATATCAATTTCCTCAAACACAGCCACTAAGCCCCTTGAGCCATTGAGGTTTCTCCACCATTAGTGGTATCATGAGATAAAAGTATTTTTATATTATATAGTATCTTTGTACCATTGTTAATTTAATCCATCTAAATTTATTATGACAATAAGTAAAGTGAACACTGGGCTTTGACCATTAAAATAAGATGCTCAAAAATAAAAATGAGTAAAATGGGTGAATTGATTAAATGCTAAAATGGGGTATATTGGGAATTTTAGATAAAAGGGATTTTTTTAAGTCTAAATTAGTCTTCAGGGCATGCTTGCATGGATTGCTTTGATTTGAGAAGTTGTTGGCTTTGCTTCGGTGTAAGACACGGGTAATGGAGAATTGCCATTTTTCTATTTGGGGCACCAGATATACAATTAATAAAGAATACGGAGTATTATTTTTGCATTGCTTACTTCAATTTCATTGGGGCAAGTGTCTCCGTTCAATATAACTTACATCCGCCCATGCGATTGCGAGTGATAATAGGCTCCATATTGTAAATGAGATCAAAAAATTAAAGTATTCCAATTGAAAATATTCTTAATTACAAAGGTAAACATAAATTTGAGATAACTTTTAGTCAAATCAGTATTTAGCACATTTTAACATGGAGTCTTGTTATTTTAATTTTTCCCACTTTTATTTTATGATGTTTTACTCTTTTTCCCATTTTAGGAATAATTTGGAAGTTAGTAGAATTTTTTAAACAATTTTATCGAATTAAATAATTTTTAAAGGGTTATTTTTTCCTAGTGATACGATTATGCCATCCTGACATTTTACCTTCTACATCATTACGGAGTACTAATAGTTTTCTTTCTATCTACTTACTTCAACCATCCATTTTATTGAATATTTTTTATTCCCTTTCCACTTTAGTTTCAAATTTTTCATTTCATTTCCACATTCTTATACATAATTGAGATTAGAATCTTCACACCCTTATTTAAAGAGATTGTGTTAACTTATGACGGTTCGTCATTGCATAGAAAATGAATATCTATGTGGTGATTGTAGTCGACTCTTGATTTGATTTCATTTGTGGTGAGCATCGGTATATACTTCGTATATTATTGGTCTAATTCAAATATTAAATTATGTTAGTAGTTCTACTTCTTTCTGCTTGTTGCGGATTTTCAATTATGTTACTGATAGAGTATATGGTAGACCCCATGGCCCACATACTCAGAGGTCAAAAACGACAGCAGGACATCCACATGGTACGCTTCGGCCTAGTGTCCACAACGTCCAGACCCGAATCAGCCCAGATTACCGCCTGGATACCAAGTGGGCCGCATCGGCTCACGGACCGCATCGGCCGAAGAGCACCTCATTGGCCAGGACTTATCCTGACAGAATGTACTTTCCTACTTATTTACTAAGTATTGTATTGAGCCCATTAGTGGCCCTATTCCGCCCAAAGAAGACATGATTATTGTAATGGGCCACCTAAGCCCAAGGCTAGGAGCCCAAATCCACATTTTTACCTGTAAATAGACCCCTAGGGGCTAGTTATAGGGGGTTGAGAAATATTAATTGTTCACTTTCTCTCTCTAGCTCTCACTTCTCTCTAGAATTAAATACTCTATCACTTCTCTTTTAGATTTTAGATTTTCATGTCAACGGTACGTAATGAAAGAAATACTTTAGGTTATAATGTTATGGTTTTAACATACATCAAGTCATCAATTATATCTTCAAGAGAAGTAAGATCTATTAGGATGCGACATTACCCAATCATTCATAATTCATTATTTTTTTTAAAAATTATTGGGAAAAAGTATTAAAAATAAGATTTTAAAAATTGTCATACTTCTTTTACATTTGGAATAAAAATGTACAGAAATTGCCCTAAATAGGAGTAAAAACGTTTTGAAATTCCAAAATAGGAGTATTATGTTTTTTATTCCCTGAATAGAAGTAATCTGCCAAGTTTGGGAAAAAATGTCATGTTTAAAGCCTTGTAATGTCAAACTTGGCAGAAATTTACTCCTATTTAGGGAATAAAAACATGATACTCCTATTTTGGAATTTCAAAACATTTTTACTCCTATTTAGAGAATTCTCTCATAAATGTACCTTCTTTATTACCTATTAATGTTAAAATGGCTCTTAGCTCTGATCTTTCGGGCATTCCTTTTATTCGTACATGTATTGCTGGGTAAGGCCTAGTGGCTAGTCCCCCCCTCCCCCCACTTTGTTTCCTCTCGTTTTTAATAAAATTATGGTAAATGTTCCTCAGGAAAAAAATGGAATACATGTACCCAAAATTAATTTATAATAGCTTTTTATTACACATAATATATCACATACACCATATATGTATTACAAAGAGTTACTCAAAATATTATTTCCAATTTTCAAAAGATAATAAAATAATAATTTTAAATAAATCTAAAAAATATTCGGATATGTTTAAGCTTAAAAGATTTATCTCCAATTGATTTTTTTTATTACTCCTATTAGTATTATTATATGAGGATCTTAGAATGTGTAGAATGTTTCTTATGATTTGTTCTTATACAATATGGAGTTCTAAATTTTAGGGAGGACACCTTTAAAGATGTTTTTTTTTTAATTTGGGATACAAATGTAAATACTCAATAAAAATTATGAAAGTTTTAAAAACACAATTGTAAATAATCAATACAAATTTTATGCTACATAAAATTTTAATTTAATGTAGCATAAAGATATTAAACCATTATTAAGTTTATTTACATTTGGATTACAAAATTTTCATAATTTATAATTTTATTTTTAAAATTTTAATTTAATGTAGCATAAAATGTGTAGGATATTATAGGAAGTTAAATTTTTTTGAATTACGTAGCATAACTCTATTGTAGCATTAGGACGTTTATAATTTATTATTACGGTATTGGAATTAAGTAGGATTCCAATGCAACATAATTAGACCTAAATTAACTAATCATCAATCCTAATGAAAGTTAAATACGTAGTACTAATTTGACGAAGTATAATTAATTAATACATTAAATTGGAAAGAGAATTATAATATGTGTTTGCTTAGGTGATGACATGTGGCAAAACTTTCCATAATTGTATCTTTCAAATGTATTATCTATAAATTTCATATTTGGAAACCAAGTAAAATATTGGTGCTAGACAGTGGCGGTCAACCACACTCGATGGCTCCATAAGTTCAAGAGAAGACTTCAAAATCTATCACATACTCAAATTGCATCCCTAGACTAGTTTGGTACAATATCGCTCAAATCAAATAAACCGAAATGAATGAAAATCGAACAATAAGTCGAATTCCTCATCCCAATAAAAATGAAATTATAAAAATTGAGAACTGGTTATTATCGGATTTAGGGGAAAAAAATAGAAAAGTTAAAGAGGTAATGAGGAGGAAAAATAAATTAACACGGATATTACAAACCCAAAATTGCAGACAAAATGAATGTAAAATTAAACAAACTTTTAATTTTTATGGAACGCAAAAACTAAACATGAATAAAATATTCACTTTAAACCAATCTTAAAAAAGTAATATTCATCATAGTCATTAAAAGTTTACAAAAAGAAGGAAAAAGATTTGAACTTTGAAAAGAATAAAACTTTATATATATATATATATATATATATATATATATATATATATATATAAACAATTAAAATATCTAAATATAAAATAAAGTTAAAACAAAGAGTACATAGTCGAAAGTAATAAGAATTGAAGAATGTGAAAATATAAAAGTTCTCAAAAATGGAAAACCTATACTAATTGGCTATTGCTGCAAAATAAAAGGCCATTACAAAAATGAAAATTATAAAAATTGGAAAATTGTAATCTTTTAAACAACTCGCAGAATGTTCGAAATGTTTTTTAAATTGTAGTCCATATAATATTAAATCGAAAAATAAATTTTTGGAATGTTAAAAACATTTAATACTTGATAAAATCGGTAGGAATTAAAAATAATAGTAGTTTTATGACCAAAAAGTTACTAATAGATTTTTATTATATCTTTTTGTTGCTTATTATCACTTCTTGTAGTTAACGTTACAAACTTAATAGCTTATTACTTTTCTTGCCTATATCTCATGGTTTGATAACATCACTATGACACCCCTATGAAGCGTGTCACAAGGTCAAAATCTCATCCCAGTTTAAAATTGTCGTTATTTAACACAGAACAATTATTATAATATGTTAGCAAGCACAACAATACAAAAAGTATTACTTTCTTATGATGCTGAGGCTTATGACGTTTGACATCATGCTTATTGTTTAAGCTTATATCTTAGGTAAATTTGGTATTCCATAAATCGATCTATTTAAATAAAAAACCATAAAGATTTAAGAATTTAGATGTTATTATATTTTATAAAAGCTCACAGATTGAAAATTATCTATCATAACCCATATATTATACACTCACTGGATGGAGGGTCGAGGTACTAGGTTTTGAATTTGTTGTTTTGAATAATATTTAGGTTTTAGATTATTTTTTTAAATAATAAAAAGTGAAGTTTTTATAGAAATATTATTGTTGGATTTAAATTTAAATAATGTAGTTTTTATATAAGGTAAAAAAAATGAAATATAACCTTTAAAAATAGACCACTTAAAGTTAGTAGCCTCTATTTTATTTAATAAACTAGATAGCACTTTTTTGTTAATTTTAAACCCGTAGAATTTTAGATACCATATCTAACCTTCATCCATTATCATGTTCACAAATATAAGCGGCCCTTTTATGTAATAAAACAATGGTGCTAACTGCTAAACGAAGGTGTTAACCACATTCGTTGACTCCAATCGTTCAAGAGAAGCTGGCAAAGCTGTCCGCCACATATACTCATATCCGTAATTACATCCATATGAGAAAAAGGTGAACTCTTAGATGAAAAAATGTAGAAGTTGGAAAATTTGACTTCACCAAATAATCATTATTGTCTTGAGTTTAATGAAAGTATTCTTCGTAGTTACTAAAACAAGAAGTAGGTTAGAAAAATACCCATCAGTGATTTATAGTAATGTGGTCATCAACCGAGGAGATGAAAATATAATTGTTGCCTAGACGAGGTTGTTAAATTATTCATTCTAAAAAGTGCATATCATTCCAATTGGGGTGACAGGTTAATTCTTCCTTGGAAAGAATCGAATAGTTGCTTGCCTGCTTGCTCCATAGAGGCGTGATCCCTTTACGATACTCAAAGAGTTTGCGGATTTATAGGTATTGTTAACGGGTGAGGAAGGAAACTGCCATTAGTTTATTATCGACATAGTGTACCGGTGGGCTTTAATTTAGGATATCTACCTTATTTTTACTAATCCATAACATTAACTTAAGGACATCTATTTAATTGTGTATATACATTCAATTTTCTCTTTATATAATTTAAGTCGGACTTTTATTGTTGAATATGCATCTAATTTAGAGCTTGCAATCGAATTGGGAATAACTTTTTTTTTTTTACCATTTTTCAATACTTAAATTCATAACTAAAAACGAAATGATAGATGGCCCATTGTCCAACATCATTTGCGAATTGGGCTACTGATTTGCCGAATCTATGTCCATCAGTAAATCCAAGAAGGGGCCCCATCCAGTAAACCCAATTTACGTGTATTACGCCAATTTACGTAAAAACTGCAGTAAATCCATTAATCTTCTACTCCGTATAGCAAAATTACGATTAGGGTTTTTGGATCGCAGCTGCTCTTGATCCGAATTTTCAGCAACCATGGTTCTCAAGTAAACATCTTTCTCCTTCATTTCCCTCTGATGGTTGTACCTTTTTAGGGTTGTTTTGTTTGGCTGTGTATTAGGCCTTTAGTGCTGCCTTAGTATATATGTTTCTGATTTGCAGCTCTTGCCATGGAGTTTTGTCTAACTATTTCTTATGACTGTTTATGTCTTTGTTCTTGATTGAAATGCGTGATGAAGCAAGTTGATTTGTTACAACTTGTAGCATTATTAGTAAGTTGAATGCTGTAAGATTTCCATTAGTTGTTTCTCCCTGTATCATGCTTTTATCCCTGGTACTGGTTGCCATTTTTATCCAATCTTTTTTTCCTAACCCTTTCACACTACATTTCTGGCTGTATGATGTTTTCTTCAAAAAAACAATTAAAGACTTCATTGTCCTATAATTGTCAATCTTTCTAAAGTTGTCCAAATTTTATCTTAGATGCGTTGATGAAAATAAACTCTGATTCTAGATGTTGTCTACCTACATTGAATCCTTTCTTGACTTAACTATCGATTGAACTTAATTGGTTTGCTCACTTGACTGCAACATGCTTTGTGTTTTTGTGGCTATTATATTTTGCCTAAACAAAAAACTGTATTTCTAGAAGAGAATGTGGCTAGTTTATTGCATTACAAGAAGGTCCAAATAATGATGTTTAGTAGTCTGAAACACCTGTTTCCGATATAAGACTATATTTAATACTAACAGAAACCTTCTGCATATGTAAAAAGTGAAAGCGATTCAACATTTATTGTGCGGGGTTTGAATTATGTTTTCAATCATCTCCAATTATAAAGTCATTTAAACTTATCCTGATTGTTTATATTATGGCTAGAATATGCTAAGCACTAAAAGACCAACATTTAGACGTTCTTTAGTCAGTTGTGCCCTAAGTATATACTATGTAAGTATGTATAATATACTAAAATCTAATCGGTCAAAATCTCAACAATCTGCACTTGACTCAATAATAAGCTCATAAAGGTTGTTAAGTCTTTTCAACTCGATAATTACAATATTAATTTGAACTAGCAACATTATACCAAATAATCTATTAGAAATATTATTTCTATATCAATTATGACTATAACCATTGGGCCTTCAATGATTTTAGACGGCACATTCCCTTAAAGCTGCCTGATATATACCTGAAAACATTTGAAAGGTAGTGGAAAGGAAAGAGTCCTGTTAATGCTTCCAAATGATCAATAATTAAAGAATGTGTATGGGGTGGGCAAGTTCCCCCCAAACGATGATTTCATTAAATATCATTTATTATAAAATTAGAATCTGCTGAAATATTATCTGCACAGTGCCAGACACTACCCATAATATGCTCCAGGAAATCTCACCTTCCTTCCTCCATAATAATGGAGTATATGGCTTGCTGTGGCACCCCTGTTTATGCAATGAATTGTTTCCAAAATCCCTTTTCTGGTTGAGAACTGTTTAATATCAAGTCTAGTTTTATTTTTTTCAAGCATCCAGTGTGGTCCTTATAGGTTGCTTTCAATTTTTCATCCTTCATTAAATTAGCTGTTGAATATTCCGTATTATATAGGTGTAGCATTAATTTGAACGTGTGATTGCAGGACTGAACTTTGCCGCTTTAGTGGTGCCAAGATTTATCCTGGGAAAGGAATCAGATTTGTGCGTGCAGATTCTCAGGTTTGTCCCGGGAAAGGAACCAAAGCAACATCTTATTTTCTCTTTTTGTGGTTACTCTTATGAATAAGTGATTGTGTTTCGGTTGCATTCTGAATTCATATGCATTGTTTTAGGTTTTCCTGTTTGCACAATCAAAATGCAAGAGGTACTTTCATAACCGTTTGAAGCCTGCCAAGCTCACGTGGACTGCTGTGTACAGAAAACAGCACAAGAAGGTGAGGAACTGGGCATCCTTGTACAGGCTAGATTGTTTGATCAGTTTCTTCTGACTAAAGTCAGAACAATGGCATAATTTAATCATCTGCCTCAAGTTTTGTCCCCTAAAAAACCCTTCAATAAAAGTTAATAGATCGTTTTGCAATATGTGTTCTGCACCTTGAGTTTTTAAAGCAAATTTCTTATCCCTTTATATCTAAATATGTTTTTGCTTCATAAGGTTTTATTTTGGTGGCACTTATAGGATCATGCCCAAGAGGCTGTTAAGAGGAAGAGACGCACCACAAAGAAGCCTTATTCTAGATCTATTGTGGGTGCAACCTTAGAGGTAATCCAGAAGAAAAGAGCCGAAAAGCCAGAAGTCCGTGATGCCGCAAGGGAGGCTGCTCTCCGGTGCGTATATCCTAGTTCTCCCACTTATCCATTTGGATGTAGCGGTCGGGAGTGAAATCTATTATTGGATTAGTTTTTATATCTTCAATTAAGCCCTCAGAAGACATCCCTTTTGTCCAAACAGATCTTATGTGACATTCCTATGATTTAGAGCCAGGGCTGCAATTTTTTTTAAGTCCTTCTGTTATTTTGGTGGTGTGCTTGTGTACCTAACAGTGGCCTTGTTTTATTCAGTGAAATTAAGGAAAGGATAAAAAAGACAAAAGATGAAAAGAAGGCAAAGAAGGCAGAAGTGATGGCCAAGTCAAATAAGGCAGGGAAGGTCCCCAGAAGTGCTACACAGGCCAAGGGTCCTAAGATTGGAGGAGGCGGCGGAAAACGCTGAGCTAGGTGTTCTTTTTAGTTCGCTTAGAGAAATATGAAGAATCACCAAGGGTTATTTTATGTTCATTTCATCACTTCAAAATTTTGATCTTGGCCATAAACTCGTCACAGGTTGTTAGGCCTTTTGATTGCCACATTTAGCTATTTGTCTTTCTGCCGCCCTGCATTGAACATGAATTTCTTTATTCAACAGAAAAAAGAATTACACAATCTGTATAGTGGTCATTTATTAAAGATGCCTTAACCCTGTTATTTCTCTTTACGTCCAAACATAGTTCAGTTTACCTTGCATCAACCGAGGTAGACTTATTCGGTTATGTCTTTCCTTGATCTTTGTTGATTCTGCACCAGCTTATTCGAGTATTCGACTAGTTAAACAAAATATATGATCCATTGGATGATCCTTTCGGCTATAGCTTGATTATATAAATATAAAAAGTTAGGTTGAAGGAAATTGAATTTATTGGAGTTACATATTTTACTGTTTTAGTGTTTTTTCATGTATTTTTTTTATTATTAAAGAAACATTAAGTGCTTAAGTTTTTCATAATTTAATAAATATGATCGTTTCAGTCACCGACTCACCATTTCAAAAATTTGATCACATTTAGTCAATTTTAACTTATGAAAGATACTTCGAATGCAATTTCACTAATCCTGTCCATTTTGTAGAAACCATACACTGAACTATATTTATGGATCACTCCTTATACTTGCATTTGCAATTGTTTATACTTACATTTACATAGGATATTTCTTCTCTTCGTGTATCTTAAAAAATTAATATGAATAAAATAAACTGTTTTCGTTTTGTCATTCAATGATTGAAGGATGTTATTATTGTAATGATTTGGGTCCATTCAGGCCTATGTCCAACGCCACCTCTCGCGTCTTGACTAAGGATGGCAATGGGGGCGGGGCCCGTGGGGAACCGCCCCATAGGGTGAGGATAGGGTGGGGTTTGGGTGGGGTGGGGACGGGGATGGGTGAGATATTTATACCCCGTTAAAATATGGGGCGGGGGCGGGGATTGCTACACTCGCCCCGCCCCCGCCCCGTCCCCGTTATATATATAAACTCAAACATACATATATATAGAAACATACACACACATATAAATAATGTATAACCATATTTAAGTAAATTATAGAGTATGCAGTACGAGGTGTATAACAAACACATGCATATACATATAGACATATATAAATGTATATATGTGTGTAACTGTGTATTAGTTATGACTAATGAATTAATAAATATTATATCATCATAATAATACGTAATAAATAAAAATACTTATCATAAATGTTATATGAGTGTTTTTTTAAAGAATGTTATATGAGTGTTAAAAGTGAGAAAGTGAGTAAATAGAACACATGCATATTTAAGTATAATATACTCTGTATATAATTAATTGTATTCTAATTGATGAGAAATTTGTAACGACATACATGATGATAATATGTTTAGTTAAAAGTGAGAAAATGAGTAAATAGAACACATATGTTGAGGAATGCTCAGGTCCATCTGGAGGGACGGGAGGCTCCGTCCGAACTTTACTGTTTGGGGTGGTTCCCGGTGGAATTTTTTGATGAATTTTTTTGAGCATGTTCCTCATCAAGTCTAGTTTATCCATACCAAATTTCAGCTCAAAATTAGATCGGGAAAACATTCAAATAAATTCTTGAAACATACTGCACATACCGCACATATGATGTGCAGTATGTTTCAAGAATTTATTTGAATGCCTTCCCGATCGAATTTTGAGCTGAAATTTGGTATGGATAAACTAGACTTGATGAGGAACATGCTCAAAAAATTTCATCAAAAAATGCCACCGGGAACAACCCCAAACGGTAAAGTTCGGACGGCACCTCCCGTCCCTCCGGATGGACTTGAGCATTCCTCCACATATGTTTACTTTTATATTTACTTTTCTGATACAAATTAAAGAATTATTAAAAAATTGAAGGAATTAACTTTTATCAAACACGATGTCACGATATTATCTAGCTTACTTCTTCTAGTGCTATATATATATATATTTAAATTATATCTTTAAAATGGGTTAAAAAATATGCAAAATAAGATACCCCCTCCATCCCATTTAAAGGTTCTCGTCCACATTCTCCAGTCAACCAGTCAACGTACATTCTTCTTAATCTTTACTTTATATATATATATATATATATATATATATATATATATATATATATATATATAGAATAAAGATCAAATGAGAACATTGCTTAACGTGAGAACGTGAGAACACCACTTTTTCCCCAACGTGTTGCACAATGAAGCTTGTATATTGCACATTCTCACATTTTAACAATATTTACAAAAATGCCACCGTGTTTATTTATTATACTCTTGTTTCGACCAAATTGAAAATGTGCAACAGAATAGCTCCATTGTGCACCACATTGATTTAAATGTGAGTGTTCTCACGTTCTCACGTTAAGCATCGTTCTCACTGGAACCGCACCCTATATATATATATAAAACTTTTATCAAATTTAATTTTTTATCAGGTATTATAGAACTTTTAACGTAGTTTCTGAATGTGTAAATTTTATTTACTAAAAATAATTCTACTAATGACAGTGATCAGTAAACTTTATGGTTAGTCAAACATTGTAAACCGTGTGGGAACCTTTAAATAGGACGGAGGGAGTAAATAAAATCTATATGGGGGCACCCGTGGGGGACACCGGGGCGGGGCGGGGATGGGGTGGGTTTGGGAGTAGCGGGGGATGGGGTGGGGATGGGGGGAACTTTTTAGACATGGGGCAGGGGATGGGGGAGCGAACCCCCGTCCCAAACCCGCCCTGTTGCCATCCCTAGTCTTGACGACTTGACATAACTTGTGCTTAGTGATGGACCCGGGCCGAGCCGGTTCCGGTTCGGGCCTGGGCCCAGCCGGGTTTTTTTTGGAAGGGAGAACCGGAACGGGCCCGGGTATGCTGCGGTTCCGGGCCGAGCCGGCCCGACCCGGTTCATGTTATTTTTTTTCTTTTGCTTTTCTAATTAACCCCTGACCCCCACCCCCAACCCCCCCCCCCCCCCCCCCAAACACCCAGCCCAACCCGGGAGAAACCAAAGGAATTGAAAAAAAAAAATAGGACCGGCCCGGGCCCGGCCTGACCGGGCCAGTTCCACTTTTAGGAGGCCCGAGCCCGCCCCCTTTTAATCCCGGTTCGGGTGGCCCGGACCGGTCCTATGACCGGGTTCCGGGCCGGGCCGGGCCCAAACAGTACCGATTCCAGGCCAGGTGGCCCGACCCGAGTCCATCACTACATGTGCTCCGTAGAATGTATAGAATAACAAATAAATATTATGATTAACTAAAATAATTAGTATGGACATGTTTGATAACTTTGAAATTAGTTGAATTTGATTAAAATCTGGTCTAAATGATTATTGAATCAAGAAAAGTATTGTTTAAAATATATTTTATTAATAATATCAAGGACAATTATGTGGAAAAAATAAGCTCAACTTTAATTGGGCAGTAAGTTTAAAATAGAAAACACATGATTGCAGTTTATATAGCAAAAAGAGAACAATATAAATACCCTAAAAGTGAAATGGTTGATTATAAAGTGGACAAGCATTGAAACTTTGAAAGTGTTAAGATTATATTGGAGAGGGATTAAGAAGCATCACTTGCACATTTTGTAAACCTCAATCAATATACAAAAGGAAAAATTCACATAAATAATCCCAACTATTTGTGGTCTTCTCTTATTAATCCCAACTTTAGATAAATCCAATATAATCCCAATTATATAGTGTATCTTCTCGTAACAAACTGGTGACCTGCATAAACCTGTTCAGCAGGTCACCTCGCCACGTGGCTTGTTTTAATTGGACTAATTTTTTCTTTTGTTTTTCTTTTAGTTTTTTGTTCTTCTTTTCGTTTTCTTTTCTCTCCCCCCAACCCCAAAATTGCATCTGCTCCGGCCTCCGTGCTCCAACTCCCTTCTCCAAGCTCTGCACTCTTTTTTCTTGTTTACTTTCTCCCCTCTGGAGTCTCAATTCTCCACTTCTTCCTTCCCCTTACTCTGTTTTCTACTCTTTTTCCTTTTCTTTTATTTTCGTTGGCTGCCCCTCTGTTTTGTGGAGAATAACGTGAGAAGTGCATCCCCTTCTTTCTGATGAAAGTCCTTTCTTCATTTTTTCGCAACGGGGCTGACTTATGATCGAGGATCAAAGCTTGCAACCCCCTCAACTCCAAAGCAGATCTGATGATCCCTGAGACCCTGAAGATGAAGTGCGTGGGAGATTGCGTCGTGTTGCTACTTCGATACCTACGGGCTGCAGATTTACTTGCAAGCGATGAAAGCAGTGGGCGGCAACAACAAATAAAAGCGATCCGGGGACTTGGTTGGCTACTGGTACGAAGTCAACCACGCAGGGTTCTCGGAACAGTGAAGATGGGACCAGGGCCGGCCATGGGGGGAGGTAGCCTAGACATTTGTCTAGGGCCTCCAAATTTGGTAGGGCCTCCATTTTAAAAAATAATAATATTATATATAACTTAAATCTTTAATTAAATTAATTAAAATACTTAAAAATTAGCGTAGAACAAAAGATACGTTGATGCAAAAAACAAATTATCAAGATTAACCATGTTGGGTGATATATTAGAAAATAATGACAAATATCGATCTAAATAAGAGTGAATAAAATTGTCTTTTTATACTTTAGTGACTATAACTTTAATAATCATGATTGTGTTAACTATAATGCATATGCATAGACAATAAATCAATATCCTAATTCAAGTATATTTAGAGAGATAGTTTTGATGTGTACGTATATAATATAATGAGCTATAAATGTATTATTTTAATATTTTATTATCAAATTGTCACTTAAGAGGGTTAATTGTTCTCTAAAATAGAAAGTGAAAACATTTAGTTGAAATGTCTAAATTAGGATGTCCTTTAAATTTTTAGGCCCCAATCCTCCCCCAATTTGTAAAATAGTTATATATTTTTCTATGTTAGAAGATTGTGTAAAAGATCATCAGGAAAAAACTAACCAAGTCACATTAATATTTCTTTCTGGCTATGTCATTCCTATTTAATTTGTTTCTTATTATAGTTTTGTATTTTTTTTACTAAAAAATATATTGAAGTTATATTCTCTCCACTCCGCTAAGATTGTCTCATCTTTCGTTTTCAGCCTATGCATTAAGAATGTCACAAATCAAGTTTGACAAAATTTGTGTGGTTCTAAATCATACTTTATCACTTCAATATCAACCACATAAAATAGCTTTTCTTAATAATTGTAAAACTTTATCATAACCTGGCGTCAGTGAGACGTGAGTACGTTGTATCTCATAATTAAATACGAAGTATTATTTGGTTGTCTAGGGCCTCAAAATTGCTCTAGACGGCCCATCATGGGACCGGCATTTTCTCTTTTTCCTTTTCTTTTAATTCTTTTTACCGGTTTGTTAAGTCATAAGTTATCTGAGATCAATTCGAGAAGGACATAGGTAAATTTCGGATTATTCTAGAATTATGTATATTTGGGATTAATATTGGAAGATGGCTAATAGTTGGGATTATTAATGTGAATTTTTCCTATACAAAATTATACTAGCATCATAACATATACTATACCTTATAGACGACTCAGAATGGCTCATTACACAATCAATTGTTAACAGATTAATGGAGTAAATTATCGGTAGCTTATTCAAATAGCGAATTTGACCAGAAGATTGAGTCAATGAATTGCGAAATGATGTTTGTGTTTGATCATGTTAGTAGGTTAGACTAACATATATGGGCATTATGTGCTTTCAAGTTTCAACTTTCAAGATCCAATAGTGGCGGCTTCGTGCTGATAAGTGATGAGGGATATGATTTCATCACTTCCATCAGTTCCATGTAATTGAACAGTTACAATTATGCGTGTAACAAAAAGAGTTCCCTTTTCAACTTTGAAGTACTTGAAGAGAACATTTATTTAATATGACTGCATTATTATTCTAAGAGCATATGGACATCAAAAAGGGGTTGCATGATTGCATCATTAGGTTTTCCCCATTACAATTTCACACTATACGTAAGATGGTAGTATTAACTTAGAAAACCTCGGATGATATTGCTTCAGTAGAGTCTACTCGCATATCTGCAGCTAGCTTTCTCAGTCCTCGAGTTCAATAATCTTGACCACTGATGCATCTCCGACTTTTTGGCATACCACTATCCGGTCGTGTGACTTAACAACCCCTGAGGCTTTCCCATGATCAAGTGCAACTTTTAGTACTGAGTCGTTTGTCGCATTTGTCGATTCGGCCTGCAAAACCAAACAAATAATAAACGTCTAAGCAAAAATGAAACACATACAAAAACGGGGATGGAAATGAGTGTGGCATGTATCAAGATTTGCAAGAAACATTACGGCAAATCTGTCCAATAGTAGACTTTTTTCACTTTTAGTTCTCTTGCTATTGAGACTGACACTTTTAGTAACCTTTATATTTTTCACTTTTAAAATTTTAATTTGGTGATTATTGTGACGGCACTTGCAGTCCTCAAACAATTGCACCAAAATGCAAAGACACATAGTAAGAGTGACACTATCACAATCAAGTGTACTGTCAGAAAACAGGCAAAATTTCCAAATTGGTAAAAAAAAGGGTGGTTTACCAAATTGGTAAAAACAGAACCTCCGGCAACATATTGATAAAAAATAAGCTCCGGCGACAAATTGGTTAAAAAACAAAGCACTGGTGACAAATTGGTCAATTTTTTGTGAGTGAGACACTTTTAGTCATCAACATTAGAATTCCTGACATTTAGACCCCAAAGTATCTTGAAGTTGACATTTTCAGTTCTAATTTGATTTAGTAATTTGGTAATTTGGCCTAAGAAAACAACCGAAAGACTGAAAGTGGAAACTCTCTTCAACATAATATTGCTCGATTTTTTTGGTACACCGAGAAAGATATTGCCTAATGAGTACGATTCAAATTTTGAAGAAAAAGGGGATGAAAGTGTGAAAAGCAAGCTTACAGGATGTCGAGGATCAGCAAGCATGGGGAAAAGGCCACGAACAATCAGAGATTGCCTTGCCTAGCAACATGAGGAATGTTAATAGTTACAATATGAGTAAACTCGACTATAGGGATTAAGGTATGTATAGTTGATTAGTACACAAACAATATCTAATATATATTTAAAAGCTACTTGAAAAGAACAAGAGGGTTAAACACACGGCCGGAATAAAAAATAATTTGATTTTTAATTAAGCATGAAAATAGTTGGTTTCACTAATGAAACAAATGCTTTAGAAAATATTAATGAACTAGAAATTTTCACTTGTACTCCTCCAATTGGTACTCAGTCCTCTGATTTGGTTCTCTCATTCTTGAATTTTACCAGTTTCAGCCCTCTAACTATTGTGAATTGACCATTTTGGTCTTGCTATTTTGGTAATGCACTTTTGATCTTTCGATTATTGTTACCCAACATAGACAACTATCAAAAGTGTCACGGTCACTACAAAACCAAAAGTAGAAACATTCAAAGGCAGGGTACCAAAGGTATAATCGCCACAATAGTCAAAGGACCAAAAGTTTAAAAAAAAAAACTCAAATGAATTATTCAATGAAAATAGATTACTTGATCAAGGCAGAAAAGCAATGAAAGAATAACAGTATAACACCAACACACCAATTACAATGCCATAAAATAGAACACAAGCAGAGGCATGTACATATTTAGATGTAAATTCCTAACATTGTGGTCGTGGGTGTCAAAGGATTTAACCTCAAATGCACCGCTAAAACTCCACTTGAGTTGATTTGTCTTGAGGCGAGGAATGACAACTGATATCACAGGCATTGTTGGGCGATATTTTGCTATTAACCTGCATTTTAATGAGCACATAAAATATACGTAGTACCATACAGAAAAATAAAATATCCAAGTACTTTAGAAAATATGCAGATCATCATGTACCTTGCAGCCCTTCCAGATGAAGTGAAGCAAATAATCACAGAAGCTTTCACTTTGATGGCAGCACGTACCTACAAGAAAAGCCACTCAACTTTCTTATCGTCTTTTGAAAGATATGAACTAGTTGGATCATAACTTTTAAATCTATTTATTAGGTCAAATTGGGTCAAATCTGTTCTATAAATCTCTTCATACTCATCATAATACATAATAAGGACAATCGAATCATGAACTTCATATATAATCTGATCTTAGTTTAAATTGACTCCTGCATGTTTTAAAATTATCCATTGGTCAAATAGAGTCATATATGTCTTAAAATTCTTATCCAAACCTCGCATTTCTATTTATTCAGAGGGGGGTAGGGATCAACAGTTCAACACAATAAAAAACACAAAATAAACATATTACCGCAGTGGAGGCAATTGATTCCAAGTGCGTCATAGGCTCCCCAACAAATCTGACAGTCTTCTTGAAGTACATGTCTTGATTAAAAACCTTCTCTGACTGCAGAGAGAGCAGAAGTTAATCAATCAGGACATAAACAAAAAAAATGACAGAAATAGAGGATGAAACAGTCTGTTTATAATTAAATCACAATGCTAAAGCTTTAAGAATCACATGGCTAGCTCCTGTACTTATACCTTCTTAATTTACATATAACATTACCTCAGCACAAATTTTGCCCACAATAGAAATACACTCAACAGGGTATAGCCCGCGCAAAGTCTCGGCACCAAGAAGAATTGCATCAGTTCCTATAAGGCGTAAAGTGTCAAATGTTGACTAGTTCATAACAATGTGAAAAACAAGCATATGTGCATCTCAGCATCTGCTTATTTATTTACACTTGAACTGTGATATAAATACATAATTACACTCAACAGGAAATGAGAATGAACGTCAAAAGTGTTCTTGGTCCACTAATAAGCTATTTCATATAAAAAATGAACTTTATTTAATCTGTTGATAGAATAAGGTTCTAGAACTTACCATCCAACACAGCATTAGCAACATCGGTTGCCTCAGCACGTGTAGGTCTAAGGTTGTCTGTCATACTATCTACAACACGTGTTATGACAGCTGGTTTTCCGGCCATATTACACTTATGCAAGGCAGCCTTCTGAAACAGGAAGACCTGCAAATTCCATTGAATGTTTTTAATGATAAAAATAACATATCAAGAAATCATTGACAATGACACAAATTTGACAAAATCAGTAAAAACTCCAGAACGTATAAATGTCATTTCCGGTGTATGAAGAATGGATTAAAATTTACGAATATACTCCCTCCGTCCCATAAAATTCTTCCCGCTTTGATTCGGATCGGAGTTTAAGAAAGTGGGAATAAAGTGGAAATTTATGGTTGTGGTTGAATAAGAAAACGGCAAATCAATGTTAGCCAAACGAAACTTTCTAAAAAGGGAAATGGGAAGAGTTTTTTGGGACATCCCAAAAAGGCAAGTGGGAAGAATTTATGAGACGGAGGAAGTGCTAACTTTCCATACAATATAAAAAATATAACAATATAACTAAGAAAATAAAAAATATAACTAAGAAAATAAAAAAATACAATTGAACTATTTAGGTTAAAGATGTGGAAAGCAGGGTAATTAAATTGATCTAATAATTATGAAAACATTGACTGCTCTAAATCAACTTTGCTTTGGTATAAAGAATATAAGGGAAAATAAGAAGCCCAACCTCATTCGTTAACACTCACTATGAATGAAAAAAATATTTGAAAACCTAACTCGACCTAAACTCCTCTAGCATATACCTCCCCGGTCCTTCTTATAAGGCACATTAGGGCGGTCCTAAATGTAAGTCACTTTTATATTACTTATTATGCACATCTAATATTTTCCCACAATTGTCTCTAAATGACCCACAAGAATGTTTAAAGAATCCTAAAAAGTAGATAATATTTTAAAGGGAAAAAGGTAAAAAAAACGGTCTTCTACTATTACGGAATAGTCACATAAGGTCATGTACTCAACAAAGTATCATATAAATGCGTCTACTTGTAAAAAGCAACCAGATGAGTCATAACCACCTGTTGACAACCTCATAATCCCGATTTTAGCTTATGTGTCGTTATTTTTGCCTTGAATTTAAGTCAATCTGGGCTAAATATTTCACTCCAGCCTTATAATCTATTTTAAAAAGATAGTCAGATGTACGCTAAAATTGGGATTACGAGGTTGTTAAAAGGTCATTAGGACTCATCTGATTGCTATTAAAAAAGTATATGTAGTTATGACACTTTAATGAGTACATGACCTTATGTGACGATTTCATAATAGTAGAAGACCTTATTTGACCCTTTTCTCTATTTTAAATGCTTTGAATCATTTCAGTGTATGTGCAAAAGCAAAAAAGCATGCCTTATAATAAGCGCTGGAGGGAGTAACTATATTATTTTGACTATGTAAAACAATAATTGAGTATGCAGAGGAAGCCACTAGTAAGCAGATGTCAGATTGCACCAAAACATATTTTACTTTATAAATTTCTTTCTTTTACAAATAAAAATAAAGGAAAAGGGTATCAATGTTCTTACAAATACATGGTTCTATGGTATTTTTAAAATAAAGGATCAAAACCAACTTCATATTCATGAAGTAGCTTGTAGCAAAAAAAGACGATATGTTGTTCAAGATGAGATAGACTAACCTTCTCAGGTGGGAGATCTATGCCAAGGTTTCCACGAGAAAGAATGATACCATCAGCCTCTTGAAGGATCTCATCAAAATGAGTTAAACCCTATTGACATTTTTTAGCAAAAATAAGTAAACTATCAATCGATACCAATAACAAATTTAGCGGAAGTAGAGTAAATTAGTAAGATATCAACAGTACATTATTTAAAGACAACTTACCTCTACATTTTCAATTTTAGCAAAGATATGAGTCTGACTTAGGTCTCCCAGCTTAGAAAGAAATTCACGAGCCTGAATTTAAGCATAAACAGCCATTCCCCATCAGCTTAAGTGAAATTGACCGATGCAAAGGTCAGAAAATTTACTAAAAAACTCAAAATGCATAACCATCGTGTGCAAAAAAGGAATATGTTGAACACTTAGCCCACCTCACGAACATCCGCAGCATGCCTTGTATAAGACAGTGAAAGGAAATCAATCTTGTTTTCAACGCCCCATGTGCTTATAACCTATAACAAAGTTAATGATAAATTAGAATAAGAAATAACTATATATAGCACAAAAAGAAAATAATGAAAAAATATGACTAAAATAAAAGTAATGGACAAAAATGTGAATTTTAGTATTTTACGGCACAGTGACTGATTGAAGTAACTGCAATGACCATGGCGATGTTTCATTTTACTGTGAAATGACTGTGATGGCCGTGACAATTATGACTAAGCAGTTATGTGTTGTTTTGCCCTTAAACTATTATTTTAGGAAATACCACTACAAAAAGATGAGCACAAACGATGTACAAGAAGAAGGGGAAGAAAACAAGTAGTAGTTTATGATAACTTCCTGCTTGAATGTAAATTAGAACCGACAAAGCTAATAGCATTAGTTATTAATGACAAAGAATGGATGGCCGCATGAAACTGATAGGAATCAGCCTAGTCAGTACTTTATTAAGGGGCAGAATAAGAGAAATAAGGTGTCTAAGGGGTGAAATAGCTAACTAGTTGTTTGTTTGGTCCCTGCGTGGACTGTTACTATAAATAGAAGTGGAGGGTAGCTAAGGAAGTGAGGCTGTTATTTGGTTTTGGTTTGGCTTGGAGGTTGGGCCCTCGAATAGTCCCCTGGCTTGTATTCTCCCTGGAGAGTTTCTCTTTCTTCAATAAACATCTCTTCGATCCATTTTACTCCTTTAATCTTTGCTACTTTTCTCTGAAATACTACCAAATCTTATCATTTGGTATCATTTGGTAAAAGAGAGTGAGTGGACACCAAAACGAAGAAGACTATCCGAGCTGAAGTATTGGGAAGGGAGAAGTGCAAGAATGAAGTGCAAATGGAAGATCATGGCTGACTCCTATCACCCACCTTGAGGGCAAGGTGGTTGTTTAGGGGGGGAGTATTGATAGGAATCAGCCTAGTCAGTACTTTATTAAGGGGCAGAATAAGAGAAATAAGGTGTCTAAGGGGTGAAATAGCTAACTAGTTGTTTGTTTGGTCCCTGCGTGGACTGTTACTATAAATAGAAGTGGAGGGTAGCTAAGGAAGTGAGGCTGTTATTTGGTTTTGGTTTGGCTTGGAGGTTGGGCCCTCGAATAGTCCCCTGGCTTGTATTCTCCCTGGAGAGTTTCTCTTTCTTCAATAAACATCTCTTCGATCCATTTTACTCCTTTAATCTTTGCTACTTTTCTCTGAAATACTACCAAATCCTATCAGAAACATAGAGTAATAAATGCATCTACATCACAATATCATATTCCCCCTAAAAGAGTCATGATTCAAACTTCTATTTTCTATTCGCTCCGTTCCAAAAAAATTGCCCAAATTGACTTTTCTATTTCAAGATCAATGATAATAAACTTTGAACAATGATTTTAGTTTTTATATTTGGGTTAAATTTATAACTTTTATACTTGTATTAAAGTATTTTTAAAAAGAACATTTCCATGTAATTTTCATACTTTAAATAATTTCATATTAAAAAAAATCATTGATCACACTTGACCATCATTGACCATGAAAAATCAATATGGCCAAGTTTTGTGGGACAGAGGGAGTAGATAAAAAACCGTGGTTGATCAAACAACCCAAAATTTTGATGTAAGTTTTGAAAAAAACAAGACTACACAAAGTTGTACCTAACCAAATTAGAAAGTTGTACCTTGACTAAACAAGACTACAAGAGTAGACATCATTTTTTGGTAACATGCAGCATCTCACAGCTAACCCATACAATTCTCAAAACATACTATTTTGATACTGCCTAACACCTCTGATGAAATCTACACAAAGTTGCCCTGTGTTGCTCCGAAATTATGGCAATTACCTCTTTATCCTGGTCAGATAGTGTAGGCAGTTCAATATGAATTTGAGATGCATGTAGAGTGAACAATGAACCAGCCAGAGTTGCAGAGTTCTTAATCACACATAGCACGTCCACATCCTGCACTTCATCAACCTGCACAAGCCATTCAGAGCATTAACTCATAAAGCAAAAAATAACCAGCCTTTCACACCGGAAGATAAAATCATAAAATTATAGAAATCTTTGCTATCCAGTTTAGCCAACCCAAACAGAAACGTTTAACTCTCACAGGAGGACATGGGAACCCACTGGATGACATACAAGTGACACAACTATGATAAATCCAACTTTGTAAAAGTAAAGGTCACTCCAAAAAGGGAGCTAGAGAGCAAAAAAAGACACTGATTCCATACCTCTAGCCAAACAGAAGTAGTCTCACTTCCTGTAAAGAGATAATGACCAATGAAAATGGTGTCTCCCTTCTTCACAACCTGAAAAGCAAATAAATTGTGTTGAGTCCATTACTCCATTTTAGATGTACCACAACTTTTAATTGGTTTTCATTTTTTATTTTTTCCATCGCATTTAAATTCTCATATATAATTATAATGATCACAGATATTTAAAAAATTAATGCATATTATATGTTATATGTTTTGTCTTAGAAATTATGTTTTTATTTCATTTTCAAATTTTATTTCAAAGTTAAAATGGCAAAGAGGAAATGCAAAATAGATGTACCTTAGACAAGCCTGCAAAATTGATGGGCAACACTTGAGAAGATGCTTCTTGGCCCTGATCAGGTGTGAGAGTAACAATTCCATCTGCCTCAAGTAAAATTGCTTTCTCACTTTTGTTAACCACCTGCAACTCTGGGCCCACTGTATCTAACATAATCTGAAAGGAACAAGTAGAACACAGTTGAGTTTCATCTGTCAATATATCAAAGATACAATTTTCCTAGAATATTATTAAGATATAGTCACTTTCTCCAAGCATGACTATCACGGTTTTACTCTTTGAATCATATCTATTTACTTATAAATAGAGAACATCATTGACTGAATAAAGAATATCACTAAATAAAAAATGTCATTAAATGAAGATCATAAATAGAGAAAGATCAGATTATCTTACTCAGGGAAACCTTATGCTAGTCATATTTAGGTATATTACTCTGTATAAAATGGTGGATGTATCCACCTAAAGTTATTATATCAGACACATCAAACTACAGCAAAACTAAGAGGACCACCCAAACAAGAACAGAGGTCTTTTCATTAACTTTAAGAACCTGTAGAGCAAATAACTAGGAAGACGCTTTATATTATATCAAGAATTGCTTAAACAGGAGGAAAAGTGTAAAACATACTATGTATATGTTTTCCCTAGATAGGAGTACTATGTTTCTTTACCTAAATAGGAATTTATTTTTCATCCTGATAACATACTACCATACTCCCTTCATAATCTGTATTCTTTTGTTTGCAACATTAGGTTTTGGCTCAATGATTAAGGGAAAATAATAGGGTAGTGTAAAATGATAAAGTACGAAAGAGTTGTTAAAGTGATAAAGTAGGTAACTGGTGAGAGAAGGTAATTAAGGGTAAAAGGTTAGGGTATTTGGGTATTTTGATAGATAAGGCTTTCCATAAAAGGGAAGTCTTGCAAGGATTAAAATACGGCCCAAGAAGGAAAAGTGTTGCAAATAAAAGAATATTAAGGGAGTACTGGAGTACTATGTAGTATGCACGATGTCAGTATTGCTCTATAGTATCAAGATGTCAGTACTTCACTCATATTTAGGATAAATATAGCACTCCATCTTATGTTTTATTCCTATGTAGGGAATTTCCTACAACATCACGTCTAACTTGTTAAGTAATACACCCTCCATCCAAAAAGCTGTTCGAGAAACACTTTTTGTACCCAAAAAAGAATCTAGCAAGAAAATTTATCATGTAATTTGCCACAGAAAGAGTGTAAAATTAGTTATACCGACTAAATATATGGAAATTTCCCAAAATAGGAGCAACAACAATATAGTTTTCCTAAATAGTACTACGGAGTATGTAGTAAAGCAATGCCACCTTAAATCATACTCACATGTAATGGTATTATCAAGCATTAAAATATGAACAATTGAACACTATATAACATAATAGTTTCAAGATGGCGAGCCTAACTCCAATTTATGTAAAACATAATACTCCTATTTACGGCAATTTCTTATACATTTAAGGTGTATAAGTAGGATTAATGATTTACTGCAATTTTAGCTTAAGATATTAGAAAGTTGTTAACGTGTCACACAAGACTCTTTTCCTGAGAACCTGAGACAGGTAGTACCAAACATGACACCATCTAACCTAAGACTGGACTTTGTTTGACATCCCTTATAGCACAACTGGCGGAATCAGATGACAAGAAGATTGAAAACAGTCATAGGTCCATATAGCCTGTTAAGAAACTTAAAAAACAGCTAAGAAAAAGTGCATGACATTGATCCATGATTTGTTTTATATACATACAGCACAGAGCTTCTTGGTTTTCTTAATAGCAGTCCTCAAATTCTCCAAAGTCTCTTGGTGATAATCAGCATCTCCCCATGAAAAATCAAATCTTGCAACTGCAAGTCAATACCCAAAACGCTAAACCTTCTTTGAAGACAACAAATACGTGCTATGAACAAAATAAGTTGGTATCTGTACAATACCAGACATCCCCGCGTTGAGACACCCAGAAATAACATCTACAGAACGAGAGTTGGGACCCAGTGTCCCGACGATCTTCGTCATCGCCGGGAAGAAATTCTGAAACAATGATCAAAGTCATCAAACCATTACTTAAAAGAAAACAGCGGAAGCTCAGAAAACAAATTCACGGATCTGTAGCTAAAATCACCCTAACAGTTTATTTATACGTTAAAGCAAGCATTAGAGAGACTCACGGTTTTGGATGGCTCCAGGATGGAGACCATCCTGATGGGTTCTTCGAGCAACAGGTGATTGGAATGCATTCTTGGAGACCAAAGAGAGAAAAATTGGTGAGAGTGAGGGAAGAAATGAAGGTTTGGTAGCGTTAATCTGCTGAGATAGCAGCGTAGCTGTGGTCGGCTGACGGAATCGAATATGGTTTATGCCCCTGGTTTGTGACTCACCGTTATGATCAACTGCATACTTTTAAGAAAATGGAAATTTGACTTTTGACCTGCTACTAAAGCAACTTTTCAAGAATGCGGGGCCAACTTTCTAATTGCTTCGGGAAAAAAATCTTTGTATATATTTCCTGGTGTACACAAAAGTTGTACACTTATCGGTCTCCCGCAAACATATTATCTGTTCGGAGATGTATTGTCTGTTCACAGACGACTCGTCTCTGGACAGTTGATTTGTTTACGGGGGACAGACAAGTGTACAACTTTTGTGTACACCAAACATTTTTCTTTCCTTTATCATACTCTCTCGGTATTATTTTGTTAGCTACAATAGGTGTTAAAAGTGGTTTCCGTTTTTTTTTGGATGAAATGTAAATTTGTATTAACACCCAAAGAAAACTATACATCAAGGGTTCTAGATCACCTAAAACCCCCCTCACCCCTACCTAGTGTAGGGGTAAAAAGAGGTTTTTATTTGATCTATTTGGAATAAAAAACCAAAGGGGCCTAAGTACATAATACCAAATTGCCCCACAATCAAAACAACATCGGTGTTGCCAAAGATGCACGCACACAGATCATAATAGATCAAATCAAACAAAAGACCAAAAGTGCAAAAACTTCAAGAGGGTCGCCATGTGCAACCATAAGAATGCCGCGCCTTCTTCGTATGCAACTAGCCTCCCCACGTCAAAAAGTGATCAATTCATGCGGGTACAAGGAAAATAATATCTTATACACCACATGTTTAATCTTCACAATGACCTCATCTTCGGTCACTATGCTTTCATCAAATCTACATGCATTTCTCACCCGCCATATGTGATATGCCGCTGCACAGAATGCAAGTCGAGTAGCCTTCGCCTTCAAGGTTGAGCCTTTGCACTTCTTGAGAATCCATTTGACCGAGCTTTGCAGTGTGGTCATTTGGTTGTCCATGCCCATCCACTCCCTTATCTTTCCCCATATCCTGCAAGTGAAAGGACAAAGAAAAAAGAGGTGTGGCATTGTCTCCAAGTCACCCTTACAAAGGTCACACCTGTTAACAATATGCATATATCCGAGGCTATCTTGCGTAGGTAGCCTATTTCTAAAAGCAAGCCATGCCATGAATGAGAACTTGGGAGGAATATATGATTTCCAAATAAAACTCATCCATACCCGGACCGACCCCTTAGTTCTCAAAAGTTCATAAATCTTGCTTGAAATTAATTTTCCATTACTGGATCTAGAAGCTAAACCCATTATGGTGTCATTTTGATTATTAAAACAACCTTTAATCTTGTCCCTAATCAAGGCCAAATTTTTCATAAAAGTCGAATCTCGGCTATGTGGGATAAATTCCCACACATTTTTACCCTTGAGATATACGCCATTTACCCATTTAACCCAGAGAGTGTCCTTTTTAAGATGGACGTCCCAAAGAGTACGGGAAAGAAGGGCTTGGTTCCAAATTTTAGCATTACGTATACCAAGTCCTCCTTCCTCTTTAGGAAGGCATATGTCGTCCCATGCCACCTTGGCGAATTTTCCTCCCCAAAGAAAAATCCTAGCCATGGACACAATACGATCCAAAATAGTCCGCGGCACGGGAAAAATTTGCAACCAAAAAGATTGGACCCCTTGGATCACCGATCTTATTAGTTCAATCTTCCCGGCATACGAAATAGTTTTCGTACTCCAAGCATTTAAAAATTTAGAAATTGTGTTTAGCAAAGGGGCATACTGTGCCACTGAGACTCTTAAAGGGGCAAGGGGAATTCCAAGGTACTTAACCGGAAACTCGCCTTGCCCAAAGTCAACTAACTCCAAAATGGTTTGGAGTTCAACTTCATTAACCCCACCTACGAAGATATTTGACTTATTGTGGTTCACCCTTAGACCCGAGGCATCTCCAAACTCTTTAAGGGCATTAACCAGTACTTCAATGGAGTACCTGTCAGCCCTAGAAAAGAGCATTAAGTCATCTGCGTAGGCCAAGTGTGAAATTTTAAGAGTCGCACACTTCGGGTGAAAGTTGAAATTTGGTCCCTTAGTTTTCCGGTTAAGTAATCGAGACAAGTACTCTAGACAAAGTACAAAAAGAAGGGGGGACATTGGATCTCCCTGGCGGATACCCCTTTTCCCTTCAAAAAAACCATAGAGTGACCCATTTAAAGAAACAGAAAATGAGGCCGAAGTAACACATTCCATTATCCATCCAACGAATCTCAAAGGGAAGCCCATACCCTTTAGGACCGAATCAAGGAAGTCCCAAGAGATGGTGTCATAAGCCTTACGCAAATCCACTTTGATCATACATCTTGGTGAAATTCGCTTCCTCATGTATCCTCTAACAAGTTCCTGGGCGAGGAAAATGTTATCTACCATGAGGCGGCCATCAACAAAAGCACCTTGGGCATGATCAATTAAACCCGGAAGGCACGGGATTAATCTAGCCGCAATGACTTTCGTGATTACCTTATACAACACATTTGTACAAGAAATGGGTCTATAATCCGAGACCTTAGGAGAGTGATTCGTTTTTGGGATAAGTGCTATGACAGTGTGATTAATCTGCTTTAGCAATTTTCCTGAACGAAAAAACTCCTTAATAGCTAGGACTGTATCATTTCCAACAATATTCCAATTTGCCTTAAAGAAGGCAGATGAGTACCCATCAGGGCCCGGAGCCTTATCATTGCCAATGTCGAATAGGGCATTTTTAATGTCCATCGATGTAACCGGGGCAATGAGCCTTTCGTGGGCGCTAGGCTCAATTAATGGACCCGAGGGTAGAACCGAGGGGTCCAAGGTGTGACACTCAGAGTTAGTACCAAATAAATCAATAAAGAAGTTTACAAATTCATTCCCCACTTGATCCAAAGAGGTAGTACACGTACCATCCTCCAGGGTGAGTGATGCGATGGTGTTCCTCGCCAAATTCCTTTTAACGATTGCATGGAAGTATTTGGTGCATCTGTCCGCTTCTAGAATATGTGTGGCCTTAGCCCTTTGTTGGAAGAAGGCTGCCTCGGCCTCACCAAGAAAAATGGCCCTCTTTGAAGCTTCAGAAAGTTGGGCCTTTAGTTCTTGATTCCCCGGATCTTGAAGTGCCATTTTATGCAATCGTTTAAACTCCTCTTTTGCCATTTTTGCCTTATTGGCAATGTGGCCAAATTCCGAGTTATTAAGAACCTTTAGGGGCCTTTTAAGGCTTTTTAGTTTCTTTATTAACTTGAATTGAGCCGTCCCCACACAAGTATGATTCCAATGCATTTCAAGAATATTGGCAAATTCCGGATGTTTTAGCCACATATTGAAGAATTTAAATGGCTTGGGTCTAGGAGAGGAGTTTAGGAGTATTGACACAACGGATGCCGTATGATCAAACTCAACCTCCATTTCGTGGAAATGGACCCTACAGCCAATGCCATTAATTCCCCACCCTTCATTTATTAGAACTCGGTCTAATTTAGCCCAAAGTGTACCTCTATTCCATGTAAAGAACTCCCCCGTAGATGGTGCATCTTCGAGGTTATTCACTACTTTAAAGTCAAATAGATGTTGCATAGCATAGGCCGTAGGGGGGTAGGGGTTACCCTTTCATTGGGTGCCGCTATGCAATTAAAATCTCCACAAACCATCCATGGATCAACCAATTGGTCACCCACCGAGGTTAAATGTTCCCACAAGGCCTTTCTTTCAAGAACTGTATAGAGTGGATAGACAAATGTAGCATAAAAAGATGTTTGCGTAACACGACAAATACATCTAGTATGGACGAATTGTCTATCAAGTTCCAAGGCCAAACAATCTATCAGATTGGGGTTCCACATAATTGCTATTCGCCCTCCACTTATTAAATCAAAATTATTTATAAACATCCAACCCGACCATCTATTTAACACATAGTTATTTAATGCGGCCAAGTTCATTTTAGTTTCTAAAAAACACACTAGACATGCATTATTCTTTTTAATATAGTTAGTAATTAAATTATGCTTAGAGGTTTTATTCAAACCTCTAACATTCCATACCAAGATCTTCGGCATTAGGAGAGATATGGGTCCTCCGTGGTGGGTCCTCCACCTCCGGCATCCATCTTCTTGGCACTCCTCCTCCTCCTTCTTAAAAGCTCTTTATAGTAGTTGACATTATTCCTACTACAAGGGTCAAAGAAAGAAAGCACGTTAGGAATAAAAACAATAGGGTCAAATTCATACCCGTTAGGACTTCGCTTGACTCCCGGCATCTTCAAGATATGGCTTTGGGTGAAATAAACCCCCGGAGCCTCCTCGCTAGCAACCAAATTAAGATCCGGTCCCACTTTAACTAGGGGTTCCCCATCCGGGAGTTCATCAATGTCAATCGTGGTAGCAAGCGGCCTCCCCCTTTGATCCATGAAGACACCGGTGACTATGTCTTTAGGCTCCATCTCATAGACGCTTCTAATAATAAAACCCTTCGGCAAATGCTCAAGTAACTCCTTTCCATCCGAATCTTTTTTGAACACCATTAGATTGTGATGTTCCGTAGAGAACTTCACATTTGGTTGCGGTTTGACACCCAAAGTAGGTGTGATAAGCTCCTTTGGAATGTTAATTCCATTATATAAGACCAACGGCAAAGGGGGAGATCCATTTGTATTGGAGGTTGAACCAACTTCCAACTTTGTAAGCTTCCTTGCATTTTTGTTCTTTTTTCGGACCACCTCTTGAAAAGGGGGGTCTTCACCATCCACGGCCACTTCTTTATCTTTGTCCACAATGGGAGCTTTCCTTTTCTCTTGACCCGCGGCTTTAGGAGGTTCCATAATGGCCAAATGGGGGTGAAGCACTTTGCAATTGAAGGGGTGGTGACCGTAGGCCTTGCATTTGTAACAATAATCCGGATAGGTCTCAAAGATAACCTTTTGAGTATACTCCTTACCCGAGGGGGGAACAATAGGGAAATCAAGCACCGGAGGCTTTGAGACGTCAACCTCAATGAGAACCCGAGCATATTTCTTAAAAGTCTTCTCTTGGGTAACTTTATCCGTAGTAATAGGCAGCCCAACTTGGGAGGCAATCATCCCGATTTCCGTTGCATGCCAAAGCCGT